AGGATACTTCTTTGGATTCTGAAAGTAAAGACATCTGTATTCATAAATAATGTGGTAAACAGAACTGGGACCAAAAATATACCTTATTTTGTGTCCCAGAACAGAATTATGGATACATTTATTGATATACATGTACATTTATAAAAACATCAGTCTTTGGTTAACATCTATACCAAAAGTAAACAAATGGTAAAATAAATCCCTTTCAGAATTGAGTGAACTAGAACTGCCACTATCATGGCATGAATACCCCCGCATACCACTTTGTCAGAATCAATATAGTGGCCATTTACAGCTCAAGGACAACCTCCCTGCCAAATCTGAGGTTACTAAGCCAGTGCATTGCTAAGTTATGTATTCTACATGCTTCAAATGTGAAAATGTCAAAATCAATACATTGCGGACAGGACATTCTTTAGCAATTGAGAAGAAAAGCTTTTTTTTTGTCAAGGTCCCTGTGACCTTGACCTTTGACCCAGTGACCTCAAAATCAATAGGGGTCACCTTATAGTCATGATCAACATCCACACCAAATATGAAGACTTTGGGTCAAAGGAATCTTAAGTTTATGGGTGGACAAACTTTTTGAAGTCAAAGTCCCTATGACCTTAACCTTTGATCCAGTGACCTCAAAATCAAAAGGGGTCATCTACTAATCATGATCAACATCCATGCCAAATATGAAGACTGTGGGTCAAAGGAATCTAAAGTTATTGGGCAGACAAACTTTTTGAAGTCAAAGTCCCTGTGACCTTTGACCTGGTGACCTCAAAATCAATAGGGGTCATCTACTAATCATGACTAACCTCCATGCCAAATATGACGACTGTAGGTCAAAGGAATCTTTAGTTATTGGGCGGACAAACTTTTTGAAGTCAAGGCCCCTGAGACATTGACCTTTGACCTCAAAATCAATAGGGGTCATCTACTAATCATGACTAACCTCCATGCCAAATATGAAGACTGTAGGTCAAAGGAATCTTAAGTTATTGGGCAGACAAGCTTTTTGAAGTCAAGGCCCTGTGACCTTGACCTTTGACCTAGTGACCTCAAAATCAATAGGGGTCATCTACTAATCATGACTAACCTCCATGCCAAATATGAAGACTAAGGGTCAAAGGAATCTTAAGTTATTGGGCGGACAAGCTTTTTGAAGTCAAGGCCCCTGTGACCTTGACCTTTGACCTAGTGACCTCAAAATCAATAGGGGTCATCTACTATTCATGACTAACCTCCATGCCAAATATGACGACTGTAGGTCAAAGGAATCTTTAGTTATTGGGCGGACAAACTTTTTGAAGTCAAGGCCCCTGTGACATTGACCTTTGACCTCAAAATCAATAGGGGTCATCTACTAATCATGACTAACCTCCATGCCAAATATGAAGACTGTAGGTCAAAGGAATCTTAAGTTATTGGGCAGACAAGCTTTTTGAAGTCAAGGCCCTGTGACCTTTGACCTAGTGACCTCAAAATCAATAGGGGTCATCTACTAATCATGACTAACCTCCATGCCAAATATGAAGACTAAGGGTCAAAGGAATCTTAAGTTATTGGGCGGACAAGCTTTTTGAAGTCAAGGCCCCTGTGACCTTGACCTTTGACCTAGTGACCTCAAAATCAATAGGGGTCATCTACTATTCATGACTAACCTCCATGCCAAATATGAAGACTAAGGGTCAAAGGAATCTTAAGTTATTGGGCGGACAAGAAAAAACTGACGGACAGCCGGACGGCCGGACAAGCTGATTCCAGTATACCCCCCTTACAACTTTGTTGTGCGGGGTCATAATAAGTTAAACAAGGAAGTCATTTTTATATCAAATATTGTTTCAGTAATTATGCACTTTTACATAAAATATAAACAATAATCTGAAAATTATATAAAAAAAATGCCATACCATTAAACTCATAGTAATATATCAGTTATAATAATTTCACTTTGGAATAAAAAACAATCACTTAGTTATAATAATTTATCTTAAAGTACCATTTAAAATTCAAGGCAAGTAGATTAAAGCTTGGACTCACCCATGGTTTTGGTGATGTTATATCTTGAACATAGGGCAGGTCTTCCTCCATGGTTGGGGGCTCTGGTAATTCTGGTAGCTCTGACCAATCTGTAGGAGCTAGGAACACAAGACATTCTGCAGGATTCACACCTATAACATCTTCTGGTATATCATCTTGTAACCATGGTAATAAAGGTTCTAGTGTGTGAGGTGTATCTCTAAAATGGTAGAAAGTATAACATAGTGCCTTTTATTATGATCTTGATGACTATTGGAAGCATTAATACATGTATATTTACACTACCCTTGAGAAAAACGTGTTACAGAATCTTTTATTTCAACAAATAGCTTTAAAATAAACACTTAATTCTGTTTAAAGATAACATATTGAAAGGGATATTACTATTAACAAATACAAAAAAAGTCATCATGAAAGTTATTCAAATGAATATAATAATATATATATTAGGTTAAAGGATAAATCATTTTGATTTTTGAATATGATTTAAGTTCAGTATTACCTGGTTTTATCATTACAGTCTATATTTGTTTCTTCTATGGTCTGTGATATTTTATATGGATATTGATCAAAATAACAGTTTGTACTTGTCAAATCTGGAGCACTCCCGTAAAACTGTCTATGTCGTTGTAGACCATACACTGAGGGTTGTAATCCTTTCTTAACACTTTTACACTTTGATCCTTTTTTATTGAAACTACAATTATCTGCATCAAAATCACTGTATTTAGCTGATGATGGTCTAGAAAAATGCATGGGTGGCATATTTTGATACACATTTTGACTATAGTCTCTGGGATCTGGCAAAGCCAGAATTTTCTGTTTTTCTATTTCAAACAGATCTGGTATGACTTTATTAGCTAAATCTACAACAGCTGGTTTAGATGAACACATCCCATTCTTCTCCTTTGTCAACCTGCAGCCAGCACTTGCAGGTCTTTGCTGCTGTGGTTTCCGAGAAGTATTCTTTTTTCCAGACTGACATCGGGCTTTAGCACTTTGTGTTCTCCGACAATAACTGGGAACTGATTTAGGTGTGCTTGGTTCTGAGACATCCTCTTTTACTTTAAAGTCTGGATGTAAGACTAGAGCCATATGATTTATAGTTTCCTCTTGTTTCTCATTTTGCACTTTGTCCTGAAACAATTTATTTTGTTGCGTAGAAGGGAACAATTTTCCAGATCCTCTATTGTGAAACTTGCCAGATGATGGTCTTCCAGGTATAGGTGGTTTATCAAAAACTGAAATGACATAATTACTTATTTATGTATACATGTATATCATTTGTAGCAAATTGCATTAAGCTTGTTTGCACATTTTAATGCTTTGAAATTATTTGCATGTTATGAAATTGTCTGAACTTAACTTAATATATCAATGTCACAACACCAATGTCACTGGTTAAGTATATATTTCATAATTTATAGAATCAGAATCAATTAAAGGCCACTACTGCAAAGTTGTCTTATCTATCTAAGAGTACTGCTTCATGCCTCAAAAGAGGATACTTGGCAGTATGTGTGTGCCACAAGTGAAAGTTTATGAAAAACTGTAAGAAATTTCTGCCAGATAGGGAGAATATGAACTACAAAGATGGTCGAGAGTATAAAACAGCAGTAATGTACAAGATAAAAGAACAAAAGCTCTGCCACTGCTTACTTGAATGATTCAATAGTAGGCTTGTTTATCAATTGTTCTGGTAGCCTTTTCCATATATCTGTAGTGTGTTGGGGGAAAAGGAGTATTTGAATAAGTATAACCTTACATTTGTTGATAGAGGCTTATGCCGCTATGTGGATGACTATATGATGGGAGAGCGTAATCAAGACTTCCAGGTTTGTAAGAGATATTAACTACTTAAAGACTATGGTAGATCTTGCATCGCCTTTTTACCTTCTATAACAGGGGCCGGTATAGGGCTGCTTCCCCAAATAAAATTTCTTTAAAATCATGCAGTTTTCCCCACAAATAGAATTTACATCAAGTTTTTCCTTCCCCTTTTGCAAATATACCATGTAATTTTTCCCCAAAATTAAGGGCTGGGCTGCTTCCCCAACCTGGAAAAAAAAGCCCTGTGACTTGTAATACATCAAGTTAGACGGATTACGCCTAGTAGCTAGGCAGAATTTCTGCTTTTTTCAGGGCGGAAGTTTTCGTACGGGTAATCAATTTGGCATCCAGATGCCTCCTATCTAGTGTGCTCTAACTAAGAGTTCCTTTTGAGTTCTGTGACCTCTAGGTGTCCAGAGTTGTTGACTATTTTACCCACATGAATTATTGTCATTGGACCTGGATAATTCATACATGGAGGTTGAGTGTAACATAATCATAGATATCATAGAGAATCAATTCTCTGTGGCTCTGTCATTATGTGTTTACCAGTTTAAATCTTGGCTAATGTCTACATAAAGGTCACTGTAACTAACAGTCTAGTGCTCTTCACTGTCTGACCATGTAGCTTGTATGGGAAAAATTGGTAGGGAAACCTACTGTTAAAATGATAGATTGATCAATATAGCTGTTGCCTCCCTTGGTTAAAAAATAAAGTTCATTTTATTTTCTCATTTTTTTGGGATTTTATTTTTGGTGTTTTAAAACCAGTATCTTACTTATGAACCTGGCTGATGTACAAAAAACTATTACTATAATGTACATTTTGTAATTATGGTTGTTTTTTTCCTGTCAGACTGAAGGGAAGAACTTGTGTCTTTAATTACTGCCTAATATAATAGTTATCTATAGAGCATGCATAACAGCATGTGAATCCCCAATGCGAACAATAACAAACATACAAGTAAGAACAGGGCTTTTTCTTACAGGTTGGGGTAGCAGCCCAGCCCTTAATTTTAGGGAAAATTACACGGTATATTTGCAAAAGGGGAATAAAAAACTTGATGTAAATTCAATTTTGGGGGAAAACTGGATGATTTTAAAGAATTTTTCTTTGGGGGAAGCAGCCTTATACCGGCCCCTGTTATAGAAGGAAAATAGGCCCTGAAGAATGGTAAAATGTTTATTTTTACATGAAAAAATATAAAATTTCCTTATACATGTATGACAGCATTACTGGAAAAATATTACTTCAATTTGAATTTACAGAAAACGAAAATGTTTGTATTAATACTATTACTACTAGCTGACCGTACAGATTAAAAAAATTTTGTGTTGTGTATGATAAATAGATCAACTATGACTAGGGGTGATTCCCGGTGAATCGATTCAGCTCTATTTCGATTATTGCTTTGCAAATTGATTAATTATTCAGGCTATAGTAACATTATTTTTTTCTGTAAGAAATATTAAATATAAACCAACATTTAGATACTTCGTGTGCCCAAGCAAGATTCTGAGATATGTTTCTAGAGGGGAGATATTGCCCATACTGTACACAAAAGACTGAGTATCCCCGTACTGCCTCTTTCCGATCAGCTAACAGATTTTTCTATAATAACTGACAGTGAAATTATAAAAATAAAATTTCTCTTACAATTCTGCAAATATTATCATTTCAGCTAATAAATGCAACAACTTTTTAAAATTTTACCTGAATTATTATTATGAATCGAGGACAAATCATTACTGACCCATTTTCTTGTTCTTCAAAATTTCACAACCACTTTTCAATCAGTTAACAAAATATAAACTGTACCACATAAAAATTGTCATACAATGTTAAAATATAACCAGTTATGTATTTTGAAGAAATTTTGACAAACTCAACTTCAGATAAATGGTAATAAACAATTTTAACCTATTTATATTGCCATTTTTCAATCTTGATATCTATTTGCAGTAGTAAAGCTGTCACAATTGGGGTATGGATGTACATCTCAATGTGCATAACAGAAAAAGCATGTTCTTGTGAAATTTTTAGGATCTTAGGGTTTATATGACCCCATTCTAGTGACAGCTTTCTGAAAAGTTATCAGAGAGAATGTTTTTCCTTGGTTAAGTGACTGTTACTTTACTGATGTATTACCTTCCAATTAAGAATTGTATGGTAAAATATGTACATATTAAAATTATAGCTTTTGAAGTGCAGTATACATTATGACTTAATGATATTGAAACAGTTGTCAAACTAAATATCCATTTCTGCAGACTGACAAAAAACTGAGTCTGTAAATCAATTATTTTTAGAAAATTATTGCGATTTGTAACTGGGTAAATAAGGTATTAGAGTCAGTGTACCCGGTTCCGCACAGGACCCGGTCCCGCACACTTTCCCATTTTTCATTTTTTCTTGAAAATTCAAATGAATTTATTCAGTTTTCATTTGTGTTTTACTGAACTGGCATGTTTTCAACAGGATATGACATAATCTGGGATCTTGCACCCCAGCCTTTCCCTAAAGAGTGCAGACAAAAATGTAAATACATGTACATGGCTGTGTAGGTCACACATAAAAACATCTTTTTCAGCAATTAAACCATGCTAATTTCTATTTCAATGTTAAGATATTTATAAAATATATATTTGAAAATAAATGTATGTTTTTGTTTTGGCAAATTTGCTGTTAGTTATGAAATATATGCACATGATTTAACTTCTCCCAATAACCAAACGTCAAGTCATTTCACTTTGATTCTTTTGTTTAAAATGATACCAAACTCTTAATCGAACAAGTCATAACTAAACAGATGAAAAAACCTTCAATAATAATGTTTTATGTCTGTGTTTACTACCTACAAGTGGTAAAAAAGTATCTTTCAATTGCTGTTACATGTTTCCTATGTGCTACTATGCTTGGAAATAAATGTTTGTATACTGTAGTAAGAATGTGCTTTAAATTTATTTGAACTCCTGAAAATTTGCAAAACAATATAACTTATCTGGACTTAGAGATGTTAAATAATTTATAAAACATGTTTAAGATGTACAATAACCTTTCAGTATAAAAGTGGCCTTGTGTGCGGAACCGAGTCCACTATTTATCATATTTGGCCCATACCTGTTGCTTAAAATCAAGTGCGCCTAGAAGTATGACCTACATAAGATAGAAACGTTTTGGTCATCAGTTTTTATGGGCAAAGGATGTAATTTTCAAAATAATATCAATTATAAGAAGAATTTTTAACTATAAGATAATTTTCTTATTTTTCCTTAAAAAAGTGTACGACTCCGGGTACACTGACTCTAGTGGAAAACACACATTTTACATATTTTGAACTAAAATACTGGTATTTTCTTTTTTATCGCCATAATTGACATTGCTGCTGATAAATGTAGTCAAGGTAAATGCAAGATGTGCTTACAATTTGGTTACATGACAAATAAGGTCAAAAATAAAAAAATTCTGTGGATACAATATCTCATCGCATATTGAAATAGATCCACATTGATAATTACGCGAACAGGTGTATCACCTTTATAAGCACTTATTGTAAATGTTATATCTTAAGTCATGTACCAACTATCTTCTATTCTAATCATAACTTACTGTTTCCACAAAACAAATCACCAGACACATCAATTTTCTTTATAGCTGCCATATTTGTTTACATTAGATTCCGATGGTGTGCTTGATTAATTGCGGTATGACTACAGTAGAATATGAAAGGAACCGGAATAGATGGATATCGAAAATAAGCTATTTTCGCGAAAATAAGATTGCGGCTACGAAAATAAGATTTATTTTTGAAATGTCCATAATTATGTTAGTTATATATTTATGCATTCTTTGGATGATTTTACAGCAAATTAAAATTTCAGAACCAAAAAAATTCTTAAAAAGTGCAGTTTGAGCGGAAAGAAAACGAACTGAATTTTATGTTAATTTAATTATGATTTAGAACTGCGTACTGAGTATATGCTATGGGACGTAGACGGTAGCTTGCAATTTTCAGTACTGTTATTATTATTATCTACATCTACATCATACTGCTTCAAAATCGTTAACAAATACACTAAGCAGGCGCGTTGTCTGGGAATAGCTGTTAAAAACAAATGTGTTAAGTTCAAATTTATAGATATAAGATAAAACCAAGTTTAAAAAGAACTACAAGACTGATATAAAAAGTTATAAGCAAAGCTGAATTAGAACTGGTGAAAAGGATGCAGCTGCCCAGTAAAGACGTCTAAACTGGGGCTAGCTTGTAAGGACACGGGTAGGCCACTCCACAGACGGATACTTCTGGTGAAAAATGAATAGGAGTGGTATTGTGTCCTTGAGTATGGTATCAGGTAGTTCAGGTTTACAGTTGGTGTCAGATGGTGATGGTCGACCCTCACAAGATTGTGTTGGATTTTGAAGAGTAGGGTAACAGAGCTGATGTTGCGCCTCTGCTACTAAGTTCATTTAACATCTTAAATACACTACTGGTGTAATTGTAGTCTTTGTATACATATCTGGCAGCTGACCTTTGAACTTGTTCTATTTTGTAAAACAGATATTTTTCCCAAGGATGCCGATCCGTGGAACAGTACGTGTTCTAACTGGGGCCTTACATAGGTTTTGTAGGCAGTTTCTTTAATCTTTTGTTTGAAGTTTTGACATTTCTTTTTATAAATCTGAGTGAATTATTTGCTTTTGCTGTTATGTTGTTTATATGATTGGTCTAAGATAGACCTTTACTAATTGTTACACCTAAATACATAGCAGCACCAGTGGATTATAGTTGTTGACCAAGTGAATTATAAGGGAATGTTATTGGATGTTTCTTGCGGCTGATACTAATTAGGACTTCACATTTATCTAGATTAAATTCCATGGACCAATCAGATTGCCAGTTTTTAAGACTGTTGAGATCTTTTTGGAGGGTTTGTCCATCTTGGTTTGATATGATTGTTAGGTATACTATTGTGTCGTCTGCAAATAATATATCCTTGCCCTTAACACTATCAGGGAGGTCATTTATGTAAAATAAGAAAAGGCAAGGTCCCAGGACCGAGCCTTGGGGGACACCTGAAAGAGCTGGTAGGTTGTCAGAGTTTTGACCATCGACAACGACTTGTTGGGTGCGACCATATAAAAATGACCTTGTCCAATTGATGACCTCTGAGCTAACACCTAGTCTATGTAGTTTAAGGAGAAGCTTGTGATGGTCGACTTTATCAAATGTTTTGCTGAAGTCCATGACAATGACATCGGTCTGTTGGCCTTGCTCTAAATTGTCATGAACTTCCTAGGTGAAACTGATAAGCTGGGTTTCACAGCTATGTTTTGGCCTGAAACCATGTTGGAATTTGCTGAGAATATCATACTTATCCTAGAAAGACATGATATTGGATTCAATTTTATGCTCCATTAGTTTTCAGGCAATACAGGTTAATGATATAGGCCTGTAGTTATTAGGCTTACATTTTGGGCCTTTCTTATAAACAGGAGCGATGACTGTATGCTTCCAGTCATGAGGGACAGTACCTGTTTTTAACGAAATTTAAAAGATGTTTGTGGGAACGGGGAAAATTTCAGTATGAAAATCTGGAAACAAAGTGATCCCTCGGAAGCATTAATCACAACAAAATTACATAAGAATTGCAGACTCGGTTTGATTGAGTCTGTACATGAGGGATAATGAATAAGTGCAACATCTCTCACGCCCCCTAGCACCGGCTTGAGCGGTACTCAATTCTCAACACTTAATAGTGCTGGTATCAATGATCCCGAAGGACCAGAAAAATATAACAACACTGAAGTGAAGTACGGGGCAACTTTTTACGGCTGCCACACAGCACTTGACACCTGCTGTTGTGAAGTATAAAAATCTGGAAACAAAGTGATCCATCGGAAGCATTAATCACAACAAAATTACATAAGAATTGCAGACTCGGTTTGATTGAGTCTGTACATGAGGGATAATGAATAAGTGCAACATCTCTCTTGAAGTTCTTTCAATAACCTTAGGGACAGCTGGTCGGGGCCAGAGGCTTTGCTTGGGTAGTTTCTTTGCTCCATCCTCTGTTATGTTAACATTTGGCATTTTTGGATAGTTTTGTGGAGTGGGCAATTGTTTGCATGACTGGTTTAGACTTAATGGTTGGGGGCGGGTGAAGACCAGACTCAAATTGTTTGTTTAGTAATGTCTGCCTTTATTTTGGGATCACTCCAGTTTTCTGTTTTGTTTGATTTGATGAAAGAGTAGAACTTCTTACTCTTGCCTGGTTGTGAATTATCAGAGAAAATGACCTTGTCTAAGTACAACCAGTAAGAGTTTCTTATTTCTTTCTGGATTTTGCCTATTAACTTTTTTAATTTGCTAAGCAGGTTCGGGGAGGGGGTGTTCGACTGTTTAATTTTTGAATACAGTCGATCACGTTTCCTTATTTGGCCAATGATGTGTGGATTTAACAAGGGTAGATCGCAACGTTACTTAGTTCTCTTCGAGGGGATATGGATTGAACTGAGACGTGTTAATTCATTCTTAAATAAAAGCCAGGATGAGTTTAAGTCGGTGTGATTTTGTTTAAGGAAGAATTGGGCAAATGAGTTGAAGTTGCTTCTTAATTTTGACCAGTCAGCTTTATTATAACATTTGATTTCTCTCACAATTTTGATGGGGCGGCCTCTAATAAACATTTAGCTCATGGAAAACAATGTCATGATCAGAGGATCCTAGAGGGGTAGGGTTTTAGTGCTGTGAACTTGACCTGGCATATTGGTTAGGAAGAGATCAAGAGTGTTGCTGCCGCTTGTGGGGGAAGTAACCATTTGCTGTAGAATAAAAATTAGAAGGTTTCCTAGAAGAGCAACATAAATGCTCTTGTGCCTATAGCCATCTTTTAGGGATTCATTTGACCAATTTATGCTTGGCATGTTGAAATCTCCAAAGATCCAAACTGAGCTATTCCTTGGGATCTTTCTTAGGGTTGACCAGAGTTGATTAAGGTATGATCCACCTAATGCATTACCTCCACTTTGAAGAATATTCAAATAGGCTAGAACTACTGTCAACTGCATTGTAACTGAGGGGCGTGGGTTCAAACCCCAGAAGCGGCAACTTTTTTTTTCTTTATTTCTTTTTTCTTTGAACATTATTTGTGTCTCTCATATCACTCTTGAGAAGAAAAAAGTGTTTCATTTTCATTATGAAATTATCATTGGTATTTATTGGCTAAATTGTGCCAAATTTATTATCAAATATGGTACCTGATATTTTCAAAGTCTAATAAAATAAAAACTAGACGGTAAAAGTATTTTATATTTGACAAGCGCAACCAAGATACTTTTAAAAAAAATTATGCAAACTTTGAAAACAGCCCCTGATTTGAGTAAATTTTAGGGATATTTTGAATAAGGCCCTCCAAGTAGAAAAATGATCAAGCAAATACTTAAAATGGGTGGGGTAGGGTAACTTTTATATACATTATTCAAACATTTTGAGTAAAAACAATAATTTTGCTGGGTCATTTGTTAGCTGAATGCTATTATTTGTTTCTCAAAATTGTTCTATAGGAAAACATTTTTTTCATAATGATTATAAAATAGAATATTTAGAGATTCTCATTTCTAAAAAAGAGCCCTTCTAATAGCCAAGTTTTACTTAAGAAAAATCTCCTTAACTCATAAACCATACGGTAAACTTTGTTTAAATTGTGCATTCGTGTGTCTTTTAAGGTATATAACTGACCTATGTTGCAATTTTATAGTTCCTTATAGTGCCCATTAGGGGGCTCATACCTTAAGGGATTCCTCATCAATCTCATGAGGTTTGTAAAAAGAGGATATATATATATATCTCTTTTACCTTTACGGGTAATCTTTGCCCAGATAGCATTGCAGTTTGATTTGAGGTGGGGCTGTTCCTGGCTCATATTAGATCGTGATGTGGGCAAAGGGGCCCCCTCCTGGTCTATTTAACCTATCATCCCTATATATATTAAAATTTCCTAAGAATTCATTTCCCGTTTGAGCCAAGTTTCTGTAAGGCACAGTATGTCTGGCTTTAATTGGGTGATAAACTGTTGTAGACTGGGAATCTTGTTTTTAACAGAGCGACAGTTAATATTAAGAACAGTAAGGCGTTCTATTAATTTGTTGGTCTTGGGGGTTTAGCCTTTTAATTTTTAGCATTTGGTGTTGAAGTTGCTATGGGCTGGGTTTTGGGGCTAGAGTGACTGCATTCTAGATGATGGGAATTAGAGTTTTCATCACTATTGAGGGATTGTGGGGGGGGGGTATGTGTTTTCACTCAGACTATATAGGGATTCCGAGAGAGGAAGGGAGAAATTTGAACTGCCACATTTAGTACAGTGCCAAATGAACCCGGAGTCAGATAGGCAAAAGTAAGTTGAGTCGCCTTTACCTTGGCATTTAGCATGAAACCAGACATCACACTGGTCACAAGCTATGCCTTTATGTTCCCGAGTAACTTCAGTAGCACAAGTAGCACAAGGGAATCTCGAGGTGTTGTGGCTTGTACTATCCAATTACTTTAATATCAGGTGCCTGGGTTTGTAGTAGGCAATGTAAGAATATCAAGGAGTCTGACTTACCTGGGGGAAATGGACGCGGCACTGATTTTACCTTAAGATTGTTCCACGTTACATAGTTGTCAGAAATTTGTATTCTTATTTGGGAAGAGGAGAATCATTTGAGGGGTTTTTCCTCACCATAATTATACCTAGGGAGAAAGTGTCGGCATCCTGAAATGAATGTAAAGATCACCAGTAATGTAATATTGAAGTATTATTATTATTATTATTATTATTATTATTATTATTATTATTATTATTAGTATTATCTAATTCATTTAGAATATAAATATCAATACTTTAAAATGTTTGAAATTGTGCAAGTTAAATATAAATCGATATAAATTAGAAAAAGATAATCAGATTAATTGTCAATATGAGCTATCATTCTGAACATTTCATTTAATTACTATTATGTATGTTTATTTTTTTTTTACATAACCTGTATTGTATCATTCATTGTACTTCTACACATATATCTTTGATATTTTTGTGTAACAAAAAACTTAATATGTTTTTACATTCCAGAAAGTATCTTTAACCACTTAATTAATAGCCATAATTTGTAATATTTTACAAATACTTTATGTTTACATTATTAAATTAAAATGTTGATATTTATTGTATCGGCGGTGGGTTGGGTAATTAATGCTTTAATTTTGCGATGAGCGTAATATATAACAATCCCGTTATAAGTGGTGCTTTCTTTAGGGATTCTGTATTTATCTATTTTGAGACCTTGCACCCCAACATAAGCGCTATATCTGGGTTACAATGTATTTTTCTTCAATTTTCAATAAATGTATGTATGCATATTTGTTATATTGCGAGTTTGTTTTGAGAAAATTTTCATTGTATTTTCATAAAATTTATATAAATTAATCAAAGCATGAACTATATCATATTGGTTTAATCATCATGGAGTTACAATAAATATAGATATCTGTGCAATCATGAAAAAATCACAGATAAGTATATGAAATTATGTCCCATGAATAAATCAAAACAGAAACACAAATAACTAGGAGCGCAAATGTTTATTCAAACTATTAGCATATGTATATTGTTGTCTTTAAAGTTAACACAGATATTAAGTTATTTTAAAAGAGGATAAATTAAATACCAATATTTATACAGCTACACAGAGGGGCCGGGAGTGAAAATTAAGTTTGTCATTCAAAAGAAACCTCTCTCAGTACTTTAGAGATGAGCTTAGATTTGGCGAATTAGTTTTAACTGACATTTTTGAAATCATTAAACTTTCTTTAAGTGTGTCTAGAAATTCTGCGTTACACATAGAATAAATTTGCGCCTGGGACATAATACATGTATGCAAATTTTTGGTCATCCATGATTGATTCATAAAATTGTCTGTTACAGTAACAATCAAGCAGATCCTTTCTTAAGTATGGTGGACATGTAGAGATTTGCAGACGAAAATTGAACATTTTTACCGAAATGTCGCGCGGAAAAGCTATAGTATGAAGCTAACATTTTATATTTTAGAATATATATTATTTCGCTTAAATTACTACGAGAAATATGTTCCAGGATTTGACTGTATGTCTTAGATCTATGATTATGTTCAGCATTACCTATTGTGACTTGACTGATTTCAGTTTCATATGGTGGGTGGGGTGATAAATATCTTAAAATAGAGATGACATTTTCTGTGCAATATTTGAAAGCTGGTGATAATAAAATTGATATCGTATATATATATGTGTGTGTGTGTGTTTAATTTATGATATGATTTCATGATGAGTTAATGGACCGTCTTTTCATTTGTGAAGAAAAAATTAAAGTTAAAGTGGAATCTATTGAATAGAGCAAACTGGTTAACATGAGATGGCTGAGTACTTGAAGGAAGGCCTTGGCTGGCATTCTCTCTCCTTATATGTAATATGTTCATTTTTTCTGAAAGCACAAAGGCAAGAGCTTAGAAATTTGGTGTGAAACATCTATCAGGCCGTATGCCTTATTCTCAATGATTCGTGCCTTCTCATCGATTCATGACCTAAATAATTGTCTGGTATAAATACTTCTGCAAGGACATACACCATCCGAAAACTACACACGTTTTATTAGACACTCGATTTGACAATTCTTTCCAATCAAAATACGTAATTGTACAGGTGTAAATGAGCTTACCCTTCAATCAGCTGATGACCTAATTACTTTAAAATATTTGATATTGATGTTTTAATTTATCAAACACACCTACAATTAAGCCAAAAAAATATTCATTATGCTGTCAGAATTTACTTAAGACTTTGAAACATACATTGATCAGATCGGACTGGAAATAACCATGCGAACATTTAGTGGTGTGAGCACCTATATTTTGATGACGTCACAGGGTGAATCGGATTTCACGAATCGATGGGTAAGCGTCCAGCTGAGCAAGACAGTCATGGTTGACATGTTCAGATGCTCTAATCTTTGAGTGGTTGTTTTTAGAAGTAATTTAAAGTTTTTGAACTTTTAGATAATGAATTTATTTAACAAATGCACTAATTGAACTGTATGTATGTCTGATATTTGTTGTGCAAGTGCAATTTTTCCAAATAAGAGTCACGAATCGACAAGAGAAAAGCATACTGAATTTTTTCTGGGTCGCACTCTTCAAATTTTCTTGCCTTCAGAAGATGCACTTGCCCTGCATTTTGAAGGACAAAATTTGTAAAAATCAAACATAAGACTCAAATTTAATAAATACCAGTGACAGTCTATATTGATATAATTGGCTTTATTTATTTACATATTGATAAATAATGTTTATGTAATACTTTTCATTCTTTTAATATATAATCTTCACCATAACATGAATAGATATTTTATTTAAATTCTAACAAATGCGCACACTAGGCTAAAATATCTACCTCATGGCCAAGTATAAAACATTACCGAACACATATGTTACAGTGTTTCTTCCAGCTCCATTTTTTTGGGGGCCATTTCTGGCCCCCTGTATCAGATATTAGGGGTCACTTATAATTTTTGAGGGTCATGCCAAACCATTTATTTTATTGACCAAGAAATACATAGGAGAACTGGAACCATTATTTTATTAGCCTCTTTCCAATAATTCATTCCGCCATTGAAAAAATAATAGATGAATAGAAAAGAAAATATTACATAAACATAATTTGAAGAATCTCTATAAACAGAAAGAAATTCTTTAATGAATTTAATTACCCCCAGTTAGCTTCTTTCAAAAGCCACTGTAATACATGCAGCTTAATATGCGAGTCAATTGTTTACACAGTTGCATCATCCTTTTCATAATTTTGGCAGTATACTGAAAGAGAGGTTGTGTAACACATACAAGTTTGTTTTGAAAATTGGATGATTAATTGATAGAAAAGTGGACAATAATTGGATATAATTATATTGTCCTCTTTGGGGTGCATGAAAGGGAATTTTAGTCTGATTAACAGACAATTAAATTTAAAGGTATTAAGTCGTAAAAAACAAAGCAGTGCATGATTTGTAGTCAAATTTGTAAAACAGTTTAGAAAGAAATCAATATGATATTCTTAAACATGGAAGATTATCATGGTTATATAGTAAGCTATATATAGAGCCTGAATCATCATGTTATGAATCTATACTTAGGTTATACTTGCGGTCAAATTGGAACTCTCAGTGGAGGGTTGGGGGGCGTGGGTTTTCCTTTTTAAAAATGAATATAACCTTCTAGATTCTTCTTCACTGGAATTCCAACAGCTAAAGTTTAGATATTTGGCACAAAACATCATCAAGTGGACCTCCTACAAGGCTGTTGAAATTATGTCCCAGTGGTTATCTTTGGTCCTTTCCTGGGATGATGGGTTTTCCCTTTATGTACAAAGTAAACAAACCATAGGTCTACAGGTCTTAAGATTTGGTGTGGATGTTTTTCATGACTAATAGCTAACCCCTTTTGATTTTGAGTTTATTAAAGGCTTTACAGGTTGATATAGACTGTAGAGAGGAAAGACAAAAGTCACTTCATACACATACACATGGTAGCTCAGACAAGTATTTAGACAATATGTAGTACTGTAAATATGGTAAGTTTCAACTCAATGCTATGACAAGAGTGCTTTATGATGTTACTGTGAAAATAGGAGAGAGAAACAATGACAGTAGTTGTGTCTCTCTGGTAAACTGGTTTATATCAATATTATTTAAACAAAGAAGAAAAAAAAAGAAATCTCTATTTGCAGGTTGTAAGGATTCAAAGTCCTGATGCAGGCACAAAAAGAATAGATACAAAAGGAAATGAAAGTGTTGCCGAATTTCTTAATAAGGTAATGCAAATAAAAGACAAAAATTTAATATTTTGGTTATCATATATCACAGAGCTTCATTAAACTTCCCTATAATTTAAAGTTTTCAGTTTCATCTTAGTTAAAGGGGCTACACTGTGGTTTTTGTGTCGCCTTGAAAAGGGGACATATAGGGATTACTTTTGTCGGCGTCGTTGTCGGCGTCCCCTAAAGCTTGTCCAGAGCATAACTCAGTCACTTCTAGTTGGATTGACTTCAAACTTGGTATGCATGCTTCTTTCAATAACACGAAGTGCAGTGCCAAAGGACCGGTACTCTGCACTTTTTAATTTTTGAGTTATTGCCCTTTGTAAATTTTCATACTTTAATTTTGTCCGGACCATTTCTATTCAACTATAAAAGCTATGGACATGAAACTTCATATGATGATAGATCTCATTAAGAAGAAGTGCAGTGCACAAGAATCGGTACTCTGCATTTCCTAATTTTTGAGTTATTTCCCTTTGTTAACTTTCATACTTTAATTTGTCCGGGCCATTTCTCCTAATGTATAACAGCTATGGACTTGAAACTTCATAGGATGATAGATCTCATTAAGAAGAAGTGCAGTGCAAAGGAACAGGTACTCTGCATTTCTTATTTTTTGAGTTATTGCCCTTTGTTAATTTTCATACTTTATTTTTGTCCGGGCCATTTCTCCGAAAGTATATAAGCTATGGACTTGAAACTTCATAGGATGATAGATCTCATTAAAAAGAAGTGCAGTGTACTCTGCATTTATTATTTTTTGAGTTATTGCCCTTTGTTAATTTTCGTACTTTATTTTAACCAGGTCAATTCTCCTCAAGTATGAAAGCTATAGACATGAAACTTCTTAGGATGATAGATCTCATTAAGAAAAAGTGCAGTGTACAAGAACCGGTACTCTGCATTTCTTATTTTTGAGTTATTACCCTTTATATATTTTCATATTTTATTTTTGTCCAGGCCATTTCTCATAAATTATAAAAGATATGGACTTGAAACTTCATAGAATGATAGATCTTATTGATAAGAAGTGCAATGCATAGAAGCTGCTGCTCTGCACTTATTATTTTTTGAGCTATTTCCCTTTGTTAGTTTTCGTATTTCATTTTTGTCCTGGCCATTTCTCCTAAACTATATTGTTCACAAGGCGACACATCCGACTCGCGGAGTTCTAGTTTGACATGAAGAGACTTAAAATATACATGATTTGTGAATTATTATTATATAGGTCTGGACATACAAAATTTTCAACCCTTCACCGTTCACTAGTATTGTTTTGCAGAACAATAATATTTATTGAGCAAACTAAACCAAATTGAAAGTATTTTAGCTGGAACCAGACAAAGAATCACATTAAAAAATTACAATTTTCCTCTTGATATATTTCTTTATATACCTTTTGTATGTTTTTCATTTAAAGAGTATATTGCACAAGTTGGTCTGAGTTAGAATTTCAAATTAATGCTCATGGGCTTTTGGGCCTCAGTGGAGTTTATCTGAGAAGGTCAATGTGTATTGTATCCTTTTTTTCAGCAATACTATATAACCATCAAATATGTTTACATGTACATTTAATGCCTTATGGTTGCCAATTCTTACCACATTGGTGTCTTTTGTTTCTATAGATAAATATATATTTGTGCTTTTCAACTAACATTCATTGGTATTGAAAAAAAAATTCTATGTTTGCTTACCAAATAACCAATTGTATGAGGACTTATCATCTCACATACAGTTTTCAATTAATGAAGTAGGTTGTTATATGCAGCTAGCAGTTATACCTGTATATACTGTTTCTAGGTACAGAAGACATTTGAGATAGGAGATATTGGCTGGACAGTATACAAAACACGAGAGAAGAAAGATGCTTTAAGAAACTCTAGAGCTAAAACTCTAGACTCCTATAAGATAAAGTAAGTTCATTTTTAATGAATTTCAGTGTAAGAGATGTATCAATATATTCCTTGCTGTCCAAATATGTAATGTATCAAGAATTATAACATTGTGAATATGAGACAAACGTTATATAATCTTATCACTGGAGTTTTGCAACTTGTTTTCTTTCGTTGAATTTGTATAAATTTCTATATTTGCAGACATGGGGATATGTTGTATCTTTTCCCTCAGTCGACACACTCTGGGGCTGGGGAGAGACCAGGAAGCAGTAGTAGTGTTGCCATGGATACAAGTCCATTTACCACAGACACAGTAAAAGAAGATGAAGTAGATCTACTTATGTACAAAGAAGATGGCAAAATTTACAGGAAAAGAGATGAACAATTGTAAGTGAATTAAGAACTTAATATTTAAAAGTTATAGGATATACATAGAAAATTATGATAACTTCATATAAATACATTTAACTGATGTAATAAATTGATAAAAGCTTATAAGTTAAGATATTTATGTTATTTACATATATTAAACGCATTTGTAGATTTTTAGCTTGTCAACATTATAATTACATGTCAATGATAACTTTCTCCTATTTCAGATGCCATCATGGTCCCTCAGGAAAATGTCTTCACTGTGTTCCTTTAGAGGTATGAGTTTAACATTTTATCCACTTGTGTAATGTAATTTTCAACAAAACAAAGATTTAGGTAGAATTTTCTCAATTCTATACAAATAAAATTTTGTGAATTGTGAGCATCCCTTTTATTACCTGAATTTAATTACAGCTAATTTAAGATATACTATGCTCAAATTTCATATCTGAAAATATTTATAATTGCTACACAGTCTCTTTGTAAATATGAAATAAACATGTTTATGAGGCCCACAGGGTAGATTGCCTTTGTTGCAACTGTGTAGCGTCTTCAAATACAGACTTTATTATTATGGTTTGACTTCAGACAAAGTAGATATGTTGTTTTTAAAATTCTACACACTATAGGTTGTTATAATTTGATATAAAGTATCATTAAAAAAAACTGGCAGTTTTTTTTTTTAAGAAAAGACAAATTTTACTTGACCTGTAATAGGGAATGCAGCTTCCAGTACATACTGCATTCATATGTTTATTCAAATTGTACATATTCTGTAAGAATTTCATAGATTTTGATAGATTTCAATGCTAAAATATTTTACTCATGGATGATCATAGTATATCTATAATTCATTCATAACTTATGAATTTCTGTGTTTTACTTTCAGCCATTTGATGAAACATACCTACAAACCTGTGATCCTCCTATCAAATATCTCTGTTTTACTTTCAGCCATTTGATGGAAACATACCTACAAACCTGTGATCCTCCTATCAAATATCTCTGTTTTACTTTCAGCCATTTGATGAAACATACCTACAAACCTGTTGATCCTCCTATCAAATATCTCTGTTTTACTTTCAGCCATTTGATGAAACATACCTACAAACCTGTGATCCTCCTATCAAATATCTCTGTTTTACTTTCAGCCATTTGATGAAACATACCTACAAACCTGTGATCCTCCTATCAAATTTCTCTGTTTTACTTTCAGCCATTTGATGAAACATACCTACAAACCTGTGATCCTCCTATCAAATATCTCTGTTTTACTTTCAGCCATTTGATGAAACATACCTACAAACCTGTGATCCTCCTATCAAATATCTCTGTTTTACTTTCAGCCATTTGATGAAACATACCTACAAACCTGTGATCCTCCTATCAATTTTCCCTGTTTTACTTTCAGCCATTTGATGAAACATACCTACAAACCTGTGATCCTCCTATCAAATTTCTCTGTTTTTACTTTCAGCCATTTGATGAAACATACCTACAAACCTGTGATCCTCCTATCAAATTTCTCTGTTTTACTTTCAGCCATTTGATGAAACATATCTACAAACCTGTGATCCTCCTATCAAATATCTCTGTTTTACTTTCAGCCATTTTATGAAACATACCTACAAACCTGTGATCCTCCTATCAAATTTCTCTGTTTTACTTTCAGCCATTTGATGAAACATACCTACAAACCTGTGATCCTCCTATCAAATATCTCTGTTTTTACTTTCAGCCATTTGATGAAACATACCTACAAACCTGTGATCCTCCTATCAAATATCTCTGTTTTACTTCAGCCATTTGATGAAAACATACCTACAAACCTGTGATCCTCCTATCAAATATCTCTGTTTTACTTTCAGCCATTTGATGAAACATACCTACAAACCTGTGATCCTCCTATCAAATATCTCTGTTTTACTTTCAGCCATTTGATGAAACATACCTACAAACCTGTGATCCTCCTATCAAATATCTCTCATTTCACTCATATCTGAGAAAATTGACAAGCGGAGTAGACAAGTATGTATTTTGTCATTGTAACTGACATTCCACTAATTTAAACTGAGCTTTGGAATCAAAATTTGACAAATATTAACCTTATCATGCCAGATATCTTAAATGGACTTGTCTGTCCGAAGAAGGGGGCACAGAACAAAAGAGAACAATAGAGTTCATTCCGTAACAATAGAATAAGGGGCCATGGCCCTCTATTAAACAATAAAAAAAGAAATGGCCCCTTTGTCCATTTAAGTGGCACGTCCGTCCATTTAGATGAAATAATTCATCATTGTTAGGGAAAATTTTAAAAATATGTGGTAACTGAATAGCAAACAGTGCCGACCATAATCAAATGGCAGGGATATACAAAATAATATTGGGTCTGCACAGGTCAGATGGGTAAATTAGTTACTGCCAGCAGGCTAAGGGTTCATATATCAATAATGTTAGAGTTTATTCTGTTGAATGTAGTTTAGTGATGTAACATAGAGTTGTTTTTTTTTTTAAAAATTCATTGAGACTCTGCACTAACTTGTCACTAAATCTAAAAATGTTTATGATTCCTGTCCACCTTGATTATTCTTAATTAGGAATATATTTGATATTACTGTTAATTACAGAGGGAAGTTTGCAAATTTGGAGAATGTTTCTTGCAAAATAAAGGAAGGTTGTAAAGAGCATCCTCCCTGGCCAGCGGGAATCTGTACAAAATGTCAGCCTACAGCTTTAACTCTCAACAGACAGGTAATCCTTGCAATCTGTCATAAAATTATATATTGTTATAGTAATAATACAAAGAAGGGTGTAGATTATTTTGATTGTGAGAATAAGAGATAAGTATTTTTTGCAAGTGAATCATCAACAAGCAATAAGCAGAAACTATAGGTATTTTAAACGAGGTTATGCTTGGTTTACTCTTTGTTTCATTTCAACATTTTCTTACAGTTGTTGGTCTACAAGTATATATACTAAGATTTGATGTTAAACAATGATTCTTTACTTGTTTACCACGAGAAAAAAACTTGATAAATGTAGCTTTTAAACTGTTCATGGATTAAATACATGATTTTAGAGAGAACACACACATATAAGGCAATGATAATATTTGTCAGTTTGTTGTGTATATTTCAGCGATATAGACATGCTGATTACATCATGTTTGTTGTGTTTATTTCAGCGATATTGACATGTTGATTACATCATGTTTGTTGTGTATGTTTCAGCAATATCGACATGCTGATTACATCATGTTTGTTGTGTATGTTTCAGCGATATCGACATGCTGATTACATCATGTTTGTTGTGTATGTTTCAGCGATATCGACATGCTGATTACATCATGTTTGTTGTGTATGTTTCAGCGATATCGACATGCTGATTACATCATGTTTGTTATCCCCCGCCGATGGAATCGGGAGGGGGATATAGTTTTGGCGTTGTCCGTCCGTCCTTCCGTCCGTCCGTCCGTCCGAGCCAACATTTGATTATTATGAGCTTCATTCCGTAGTTAAATAAAGAACATAAACTCATAAAATTTAAAATTAAGAGTTTTTTTTTGTTTTTATGAGCTTATTTTGCTTATGGACGTTGGTCCAGGTGGTGTTTATGAGCTCATTTGCCTCATAAACATCAAATTTTGGTACGTCCGTCCATCCGTCCGTCCGAATTTCGTTTCCGGAGTAGTTCTCTGCAACTAATGGCTGGAATTCAACGAAACTTTATGGGAATGTTGATCAGCATGTGAAGTTGTGCACCTGGGTATTTTCGTCTGGATATTTTTAGTATTTTTAGAGTTATTGCCCTTGACTTAGTAAAATCCGTCCGAATTTCGTTTCCGGAGTAGTTCTCTGCAACTAATGGCTGGAATTCAACGAAACTTTATGGGAATGTTGATCAGCATGTGAAGTTGTGCACCTGGGTATTTTCGTCTGGATATTTTTAGTATTTTTAGAGTTATTGCCCTTGACTTAGTAAAAATTTTTAATTTTCAACTTGTGTCGCATGTAACTCAAGAAGTATTTGACCTAGAGTCATGAAACTTTACAGGAATGTTGATCAGTATGTGTAGTTGTGCACCTGGGTATTTTTCGTCCGGATATTTTTACTATTTTAGAGTTATGGCCCTTGACTTAGTAAAATTTGCAATTTTCAACTTGTGTCGCAAGTAACTCAAAAAGTATTTGACCTAGAGTCATGATACTTTACAGGAATGTTGATCAGCATGTGTAGTTTTGCACCTGGGTATTTTCGTCTGGATTTATTTAGTATTTTTAGAGTTATTGCCCTTGACTTAGAAAATGTTTGCAATTTTCAACATGTGTCGCATGTAACTCAAAAAGGATTTGACATAGAGTCATTAAACCTTATTGGAAAGTTGCTCAGCATATTTAGTTTGTTCCTGGGGTTTCGCTTGTGGATTTACCCAGTATTTGTAAAGTTATTTCCTTTGACTTAGTAAAAACTGTTTCATTATGTTGTTATTTGATCCTTGAGTGCTTGAGTTAGAATCGACCAACTGAAAATGGCAATAAAGTCTGGAGATTAAGATGTTTTTACATCTAGGTGAGCTATTGTGATCCCCCACCGTCCGTCGTCGTGCGTCGTCAGCAATTTCTTTAAACAACATCTCCTCAGAAACAAATGACTGCACAGCAACCAAACTTTATAGGAATGATCCTAGGGTGGTCCCCTGCAAAAGTTGATCAAATGGTTCCGGTCTGTTGCATAAGTAGGTCACAGGGCCAGAAAAGGAGTTTCAAAAATGCAAAATTAAAAAATCTTCACTGAAAGTAGAAGGCCTAGAGCTTTGATATTTGGTATATGATATAACATATAGGTCCTCTACCAAAATTGTTCAAATTTTAGCCCTGGGGTCAAAATTGGCCCCACTTCAGGGGGTCATAGATTTACCTTATATGTATATAGTGAAAACTTCTTCTTGTTTGAAGGTACAAGGCTTCAAGTTCAAAGAATATTACAGTTTATGCCATGATTAATATATAAATAAAGCCTTATGTCTTCAGTTGTTGTGTTAATAATATTAATAACCAGTACTCGGCGGGGGATATAAATTCAACGAATTTGCTTGTTGTGTATGTTTCAGCGATATCGACATGCTGATTACGTCATGTTTGTTGTGTATGTTTCAGCGATATCGACATGCTGATTACGTCATGTTTGTTGTGTATGTTTCAGCAATATCGACATGCTGATTACGTCATGTTTGTTGTGTATGTTTCAGCGATATCGACATGCTGATTACATCATGTTTGTTGTGTATATTTCAGCGATATCGACATGTTGATTACATCATGTTTGAGAATCCTAACATCTGTAATCAGTTCTTAAACTACTGGCGTAGTACAGGTAACCAGAGGCTGGGTATAATGTATGGCAGGTATGGGCCACATAAAGATATACCTCTAGCTATCAAGGCTGAAGTTGCTGCTATATATGAACCTCCACAGGTAACAGTCAATTATATACACAATGTTTTATCTCACTTAATTTTGTTCATAAGTAAAAGTTTGGTAAATCATTACATATTTTTTATATTTTTCCCATAGTAATAGTTTGAATTTTTTCTTATTAGTCCCCTACCGGTTTAACCGGAGGGGACTTTAGGTTTACCCTCCGTCCGTCTGTCTGTCTGTCCGTCAGTCTGTCAGTCCGTCAGTCCGTCCATCCACAAAACTGGATCCCGCGATAACGCAAAAAGTACTGAAAATATTTTTATGAAACTTGATATATGGATAGATGGCAGTATGGAGATTATGCACGTCTTTTTTTTTTCTTCCTATGTTGAAAATTCTGGTTGCTATGGCAACAAATAGTCTGAAAATATGGCAAATTTAACACATAAACTGGATCCAGTGATAACTCAAAAAGTACTGAAAATATTTTTATGAAACTTGAAATATGGGAAGATGGCAGTCTGGAGATTATGCACATCTTTTTCTTTTCTTCCTATGTTGAAAATTCTGGTTGCTATGGCAACAAATAACCTGAATTTCAAGATTTCTGATTTAAATTTTTCAGCTTTTTCACTATATGTTCTTTATTTCTTAAGGTGTTTACTTCAAACTTTAAATATAAGTTTCTGGTCATCAACCACATCATATGTGAACAAGGTTTATAACTCTAGCACAAAAAATATCAGTATTACCTCCCTTGAACTTAGATTTTTTAGGGGAAAAAAATGTTGTCTTTTTTAAATAACTTCTTTATTTCCTAATACTTCATATATATGTTTCTTATTATCACTCGACATTTTTTGAGAAGGTTAAATACTCTAGCAAGACTATTTCCAGAATTATGTCCCCTTGAACTTAGATTTTTTTCGAGAAACTGGTATTTTCACTCCAACTTCTTCATTCCTTATAGGATTTACTTTAAAATCCCACATCGTAATAATATGACAAGGTTGTATAAACATAATTTCCTTACTAAGCATGGAAACTTAACACATTACTGTGATATAGACAAACTTATTTTATTAGCTCGACTATTCGAAGAATATGAGAGCTATTGTAGTCGCCCCGGCGTCGGCGTCAGCGTCCGCGTCGGCGTCTGCGTTGGTTAAAGTTTTTTGTAAATTCAAATATCTCAATTATTACTTGAGATATTCAATTGAAACTTACAATACTTATTTATAGTAACAAAGTACATCAGATTGACAAGTTGGATAACTCTGCCTACAATATTGACAGAATTATGCCCCTTTTTAACTTAGAAATTTTGGTTAAAGTTTTTTGTAAAGTCAAATATCTCAATTATTGCTTGAGATATTCAATTGAAACTTACAATACTTATTTATAGTAACAAGGTACATCAGATTGACAAGTTGGATAACTCTGCCTACAATATTGACAGAATTATGCCCCTTTTTAACTTAGAAATTTTGGTTAAAGTTTTTTGTAAAGTCAAATATCTCAATTATTGCTTGAGATATTCAATTGAAACTTACAATACTTATTTATAGTAACAATGTACATCAGATTGACAAGTTGGATAACTCTGCCTACAATATTGACAGAATTATGCCACTTTGAAACTTAGAAATTTTGGTTAAAGTTTTTTTGTAAAGTCAAATATCTCTTTATTGCTTGAGATATTCAATTGAAATTTAAAATACTTTTTTATAGTAACAATGTACATCAGTTTGCAAAATTGCATAACTCTGCCTGCAATATTTGCAGAATTATTTGCCCCTTTGAAACTTAGAAATTTTGGTTAAAGGTCTTCAAAGATATTTACTTGAAACTTTACACATGCACTTAAAGTCATAATTGGAGGGTCATAATTGTATGTCACTGACCAAGTTCCATAACTCTGTCTTGCATTAAGGCTGATTCATATCCCCTTTTCTACTTAGTGTCTTGGTTAATGTTTACATGCAAGTTTTACATATCTCAATAACTATTAAAGATATTTATTTGAAACTTCACATATGCATTCAGGGTCATAATTGTAGGTCACTGACAAAGATCCATAATTCTATCTTGCATTTAGGGTTAATTTTTCTCCCCTTTTTCAACTTAGAAATTCATGGTAAAGTTTTGCTTGTAAGCTGTTATCTCAATAACTACTGGAGGGTTTGTGCCTTTTTTGGGACAATTTTATGCATTCATAATAATAAAGCAGTGATTTACTTGATAAAACATCTAAATAACAAGCCTTTGTACCTTTTCTGTCAAATTTATGTATTCATAGGTAATTAGTATTATTATACGCAATAAAACACCCTTGTGACATTACCTTCCAAATAGTCAAGCCAATACTGTATAATTAGACTCTCTCTAAGGCCTATAACATGAATTTATAAAAAAAAATTAGCCCTTTTGTGAACTTAAAAAATTTAACAGTATCAAGGCTCTTTTACTATCAAGCACTTAGAATAGTCGAGCGTGCTGTCCTACCGACAGCTCTTGTTATGTTTTGTGGTTGATATTTTCAAATACAGACTTCATCCTCAAATTCATTATAAATGGCAATACACAGGAGTGTATGACAATTAAAGAACTTTTTGAGGGACCGGTAGGGGACTACTGTATTGCCCGCAATACTATCAAATGCTTGTTTATTATTTAGTTTCTGTGGTTAGCTTATTTTGTCATTTTGTTGAAATAGATGTGATTCCATGTTTATGTATATATTTCAGATCAATAGTAAGAACAAGATAGAGTTACTGGAGGACCCCCAGGAGGAAGCTATACACAGGTTAACACTGAGGCTTGGACTTGTCCCTGTAGGCTGGATCTTCACAGATCTGGTTGCTGATGATCTCACTACAGGAACTGTGAAAAACTTCAGAGGCAATGTGGTATGTTGATTATAGCTTTTACTGTATGAATACCACAGTGTTCCATCTATAAGTACAACATAGTGCAGTATACAAATTTCTTTGTACTATGACTTGTACCAGTTAATGCCCTTTATCTCACAAGATTTTATAACAAAGTTGTGTAGTTTACCTGTTGTCACATAGATAGTATTTGTGTAGATTACTATTAATATTATGATAATGCGGTGTCACACTAGATTCATGCATAGACATTTCCATGACTATAAGAAATGGTTAATTGAAAGAAAAATCATAAAAATTCCTTGACTAAAACTAGAAATTATATTGAAGTTTTAAATATGAGAGCTGGAACAGAAGGATGACCTGTTTTCTAAGATGATGATTAACATTACTTGATAATTATACGTATTTTCAGGACTCTCATTTCTTGAGTGCGGAAGAATGTATAATGGCTGCACAGTTTCAAAATAAATACCCAAATCCTTGTAAATATTCTAAAGATGGTCATTTTGGGTCTAAGTTTGTAACAGTTATTGTTACAGGTAAGATATAAATTTGTTCAACCCTTTCACCCAGAATTTGTTTGATAGTGTGGCTGTGCTTTGAATTGGAAATGATCAATTTATGTTACTAGATTAAGTTTAAATGTTTCATGAGCCAACATTGAAGATCTGATCATACTACACAGGTATGTTAGTTGGTGTGAATACACAAGTGCCTTGAGTAAATCAACTTTCAGACTTAAGTTTCAACAGTTGATTATGGTCCTGATTTGTCTTGACAAAATCTGGAATTTTTTTCATAAAAAGATATGATATACTTGTCATAAAACATATATCTTGCGTAAGTTTACACAGAATTTCCTCTGATGTGATTGGCTGAAGATCATTTTATGTCTATAAGTAGTAACATCTGTTTGGCACCAGTTAGATGAAGGACATATTTTATTTCTGCTTTGCCTGTGAATATTTATGATCATATATTGGGGTTGAAAGAATTACATAATATGATACAATAAGGTATATTATACTTACAATTTACTTTTTATAATATAATACATATAAACAGTAATAGAAAAAGCATCGAAACACGAGGCTATCTGATTTGTTCTATAGGGTGTAGACCAAGATTATAATCCAGACTACTGAGTTTAGATGTTCTTTCTCTTGTATGGTAGACAAATATAAAAACATGTTCCCTGTTGTCACAATATAAAACCCCAGAATAAATGAACCAATGTAAGAGCATCTGAATACAATATTTCTATCACTATCCCTTTCTCCATCAACACAATAAGTAAACCCCAGAAAAAAATGAGCCAATCAATGGGCATGCGCTGGAGTATGGGTAACTTATACCTGAACTCTAGTTTATGCACTGTGCATGTATATAGGATTTAACTGTGACACATTTTCATCAGAAAGGTCTCCAAACTATGATACAATTGGCTATAAAATACCGGTATATAAAACTTTGTATCTGACAATTAGGAAATATATGTTTAATTATTGAGTGAACTGTTGAACAGCGAAGCTATTTAACTTTTGTAATCTTTTCAATAGCTATGAATTGATCATTGAAGGTTAGTGTTTTTTCTTGACCAACCAGTACAGTGTGTGTATATATATATATATATTTCAGGTGATCAGAATGGTCAGATACATTTTGAAGGTTATCAGGTATCAAATGTGTGTATGGCTCTGGTTAGAGATGAATGTCTTATTCCAACTAAAGATGCCCCAGAACTTGGTTACATCAAGGAATCTTCAAATGAACAGTATGTCCCAGATGTCTTCTTCAAGGTAAAAGTTTCTTAAAAACGAATTTTCCTTAGAGATATGTTTTGAAAATATATGTTAGCTTTAATTTTCAAAGAAAGAATTATAAAAATTGAGATCTTACAGACAGCTCTTGTTTTACAATTATTTATAGGAAAGTAATTAGTTGAAACGCAAGCTAGCACCTGAAATTGTCGATTTTTGTTAACATTTTTTCTGTAATTATTTGCAGTAAATGTCCATGTATATATGCATATTTTTAATATTGCCAGTTAGTTTTAACAAATTACCATAGTATATTTATCATAATATATTTCTTGCAATAGGACAAGGATGAGTATGGTAATGAGGTTACCCAGCTTGCCCGTCCCCTACCTGTTGAATACTTGCTTGTTGATATGGGGGCAGCATTTCCTGTTGAACCACAGTTCACATTCAAAATGGCAGATAAACCATTCCCAAAGGAGAACAGAAATGCCACTGGAGAGGTTCAGGTTAGTAAACTTACAACATGCTTAAATATTTAGCAGTTCATGTCTGATGGAATCAGTACACTCATTTGGAATGCTTTTATGCACTGGATTTTATTCTCCATAAAAAACACTTGTTTGTATATAGTCTTTTTCCATCTCAAAGTTTCAATACCACATTTTGTTAACAAAAAGTCAAGCATATTTTCTTTGGACAAGTATCTCTTGTAATTAACCATTTGGCAACAGTATGAAGTACACTTTTTATGCCACCGCAGCATCTGCGATGCGGTGGCATATAGCGATTCACCTGTGTGTTTGTTTGTGTGTGTGTGTGTGTGTTATATAGATTATATAGTGAACTTAAAAAATCTTCTTGTGAAAAACCAGTAGTCCAATTTCAACCAAACTTGGCAGGATTGATCCTTGGGTGAAGGGCTTCCAAAGTTGTTCAAAGAATTTCGTTCCATGCAGAAATCTGGTTGCCATGGCAACCAAAAGGAATAATAAGAATAAATTAAAAAAATCTTCTTGTAAAGACCCAAAAGGCCTATAGCTTAGATATTTTGCATAAGGTATTGTCTGGTAGACCTCTACCAAGATTGTTCAAATTAAAGCCCTGGGTTCAAAATCGGCCCCGCCCCAGGGGTCATTGATTTTCACTATATGGACATATAGTAAAAACTTAAAATACCTTCTTGTAAAGACCCAAAAGGCCTAGAGCTTAGATATTTTGCATAAGGCATTGTCTGGTAGACCCTTACCAAGATTGCTCAAATTATAGCCCTGGGGTCAAAATCGGCCCCGCCCCGGGGGTCATTGATTTTCACTATATGTACATATAGTAAAAACTTAAAAAACCTTCTTGTAAAGACCCAAAAGGCCTAGAGCTTAGATATTTTGCATAAGGCATTGTCTGGTAGACGCTTACCAAGATTGCTCAAATTATAGCCCTGGGGTCAAAATCGGCCCCGCCCCGGGGGTCATTGATTTTCACTATATGTACATATAGTAAAAACTTAAAATACCTTCTTGTAAAGACCCAAAAGGCCTAGAGCTTAGATATTTTGCATAAGGCATTGTCTGGTAGACGCTTACCTAGATTGTTCAAATTATAGCCCTGGGATCAAAATGGCCCTCCCCGGGGGGTCATTGGTTTTCCTTATATGTATATAGTAAACACTTATAGTAAAAACTTGTGCAAGTGGTTAGATATTTTGCATGAAACATTGTGAAGTGAACTTCTAGCAAGATTGTTCAAATTATAGCCCTGTGGTCAAAATTGCCCCTGTGCTCCGGGGGTCATTGATTTTCAATATATACATATAGTAAAAAATCAAAAAACCTTATTGTCTGAAGGTACATGGCTTAGAGCTTTGATATTTGTTAAATGATATCATCTATAGGAACTCTACCAAAAGTTGTTCAAATTTTGCCTCTAGTGTCAAAATTAGCCCCGCCCCCGGGGCCATAGGTTTTCCTTATATGTATATAGTAAAAACTTAAAAAATCATATTCTCTAATAATATAGATAAATACAGAATCCCTAAATTTTTAATGGCTAGAGTTAAGATATTTTGCATGAAACATTATGTAGTGAACCTCTAGCAAGATTGTACAAATTATAGCCTTGGGGTCAAAATTGGTTCGCCCCGGGGGTCATTGTTTTTCATTATTTACATGTAGTAAAAAAATAAAAAAATATTTTTGTCTGAAGGTACAAGGCATAAAGCATTGATGTCTGCTATATAATATCATCTATAGGTCCTCTACCACAGTTGTTTCAAATTTTCCCCTGGTGTCAAAATTGGCCCTGCCCGGGGGGCAGTGATTCTCATTATGTACACATAGTAAAAACAAAAATAAAACAAATTAATGTTTTCTGAATGGGAGAAAGCTACAGCTTAGATATTTGACTTGAAATGTTGTTTGGTGGACCTGTATCAAGATTGTTTTGAATTAAACCCTTGGGTCCAAAATTTTGCCTTGCCCGAGGGGGACAGTGACCTACTTTCTTGTCCTTTGATGTACAGCAATGAAATTTTGACCATGTGCACAGTTTTAGTTGTAAAATTGAACTTTGATATCAGGTGAATTAGATTTTGATGATGTGACCTACTTTCTTGTCCTTTGATGTACAGCTATGAAATTTGAACCATGTGCACACTGATTAAGATGTAAAGTGAACTTTTATTTCAGCTGACCTAGATTTTGACAAAGTGTCTTACTATGTTGTCCTTTGATGTAATTTAGGCTGTGTGAAATATGACCTTCATCACCAAATTCACTAGACCTGAGTGCAATGATATATTCCTACTCTGATCTTTTATTGAGTTAACAACAGATTTAACCACTAATCTGATAATAAGAATTAGATAGGTCAGGGATCTATGCATTATGACAATCTTCAAAATTGAATAGAAACAAAAAAATCTGTTCCTACACTACTATTAAGTGTTGTATTAATGCGGTGGCATAGCATTTTTCTCAAATGCAATCTTGTTTTATACTACTTTAAAGATATAAAATTCAATACATAAGAATTTAAAGAGATACTGTCATGAGTATTAATTAACTTTCTACATATATCTTTCCAGGATTTTAATGCATTGACTAGTTACATGCATCAGTTCACTCCAGACAAGTTTTACGAAGCTGTGTCCGACTTTCATCTCTTGTTATACCTATCCACTACAGACATGCTGCCTCTAAAAGTAGGTTATATTTCTCCAAAAATATTCTAGTTCTATTCCTTACACTTAAAATAAATTTTCAAATATATGAGTTTTAAATGAATTGAAGATATTCAGTGAACAAGATTTCCTTATGCAGATATTCTGAAATGGATTATTTTTTGTTCATGTCATTAATTTATCAAGTAATTGTGAACTAAAATATTACACTGCAAATAATTTTGGCAAGCTGTGTCAATTCACTGTAACGTGTTTGTTGTTACCATTTACCAAATTATGCCTATACACTTTTCCTATACATTTGCTATTGAAGTTTAATTTACAGATCATGTATCAGGATACAGTGTTAAATGATTAATTTATGAATGTTTTAAGGAAAGGATTGGATCACTGTTAGAAGCTATAAAGTCTGGAGATGAGGGTTTGGCTCATCATTTCAAGAAAACAGAAGAATGGGCAACTGTTGAGGAGATGATGGCTGCCCATGGCAGTAAGCTGTCCACTCTTATATAATACTTTAATAATGAAGGCAGTTTTACTATTTCAGTTCTAAACCATATAACTGCAGATCTTACCCCACTCTGAATTTAAACTTAAAGGGATTTCTTTTTCTCAGAAGTACTAAATTTGAGTTACTGATATAAAAGTCTGGGAAGACTGCATGACATTGCATGAATTATTGTTTCTATGCAAATGGCAAAAGCGTTGCAGGTTTGATTCAATCATTACTAGGGTTGAAGTTTATAAAATATGTTGTCATTATACATGTATACACTATATATATTAAAAGTTGACACATGCAATGACATAGGAGTTTACTATATTTAATATTGAGATTGATTTTACAAAATGATGCATTTCATTGATTTTTTCTGTTGTGTGTTTAATAATTTAAATTCTCTTCAAGTTTTGTGATAGTTTTTTTATGACCGATGAAATAAACTTGTTTATTTTGCAGCTTCATCACCAACATTGACACGAGAAGGGTCGTATGTGGGTCCAGGAGCATCCCCTCTACCACCTATAGGTGCATCTGGTGGTGTTTGGACATGTGCTCATTGTACCTTTCATAACAAACATGAAAATCAGAACTGTGAAATGTGCTCTTTGCCAAGGCAGTAAAACTGCCAAGTATTTTTATTTATTTGACATTTACTATTCCTTAACCACTCTAAAACTTTTGTGACTACATGTATGTTAAGGTAAACAAGTAAATATACATTTTTTTTGGAATATCACCGCTTTTTATGTAGTACATTGGTATTTGGATTTCCCAGGAAGAAAATGTATGAAAAAATTATTGACAAGTTAAAACAGTAAAGTCGATTAAAAAAAAGTCAATATAATATACTGCATTGCATTCTTACTGTGCTAAAAGACAGTTAGTGGACAGGATTGAAGTTTCTTTGACTACCAAGGTCTGATGGGTTCTCTATGAGCAGATATTTATTCACTGTTTGAATTAATTTATCAATTTCAACAATACGAGGGCTGTCCCAATAAGTCATGGAATTTCTGTGATAATGCAAACTGAATTTCTGACATAGTTCTAACTGTTTGATGTCTGACTTTATTACAATGTTTTCAACTTTCTCCACTATTCATGATCACTTTTTTCTCATCTCATTTTTTCAAGGCCCCGACTGTGTAACCCTGTTCATTTACCCTGTAATAGGTATCCCCCTAATGCCTTACAATATTTCATTTATATATATATTATATATATTTTATCTCATTCTGTTAATTAATCACCTGTTATATATTTTTTGAAACACTTGTTTGCTAACACTAGCAAAACAATCTTGTACTTTTCCACAGTTTTTAACTTATTTAAACATCATCGACTGTTTTGAAGATAATACAGTCATTCGGTTTGTAAAATGAGAATTTTTGGCCTGTGCCTCATTCACCACTTCAGGTCTCTTTTGATGCTTTAAAATTTAGTGTATGCATATTTTCCTTATAGTAATATTTCTTATTTTACTTCAAATTGATCAAGATACATTTGTGCAAAGTTATTTAACCCATTACTTCATGAGCATTTTGTGAAAAATGGCTGTTTTCATTGAAAAGTCTCCCGTTACAAGTTCAAATTGCTATAATACTATAAAAACTGCTTCAACACTAATCAAACTTGCCATAAATGTTGACTGGACCATTGCCCTTGCAATAACATGCTCAGTCTTTATTTGTCTGTTACCATGGCAACGAGGGGACATCTCAAAATTGCCAAAAATCACTATTTTGCGTTGATTTTTTCCATCAAAATTGATTTCAAAGTGCTGCAACTTCTCAATGGATTGAGATAGAGTCAAATGCTTTTCAGCATTGGTTACACGTTACCTTATGATCAATCTGGGGTCATTTATAGCCTCTCACAAGTCCAAAATTTGCTTGGCACATCCCCCTTCTGGTAACCCCCTGATGTATCTTTTGGTTGGGGGGCCGCGCCGAAAATGTGGTCACTTTTTTTAACAACATTGCTCAAACAAAAACAAGTGTTGGGGGCCTAAATAAGGCATTTTTTTCACCATTTGAGACAACAAAAAGGGGGGGGGGAAGTGAAAAAGGCGTTAAAAGGTGTGTATATCGCGTAATGGGTCAAGGCTTGGGCATTATTATTTTTTTTTGTTTTACAGTGATTATCCATGACTTAGTGGGACAACCCTACTACATGTATCCAGTTTATGACTGCACAAATTTAAGTTAAATGAATGTTTAATTTTGTTTTAAAACACTTTGGTTTTTGTTTTTTTTGTTACAAACATTATTTATTGGTTCATATTAGATTTCTTTCGGTTTTGTGTTGAAATGTTTCTCTGGTATTTAAGTTTCACACTAGTTTTGTATTTATATATCCCCCCCAAAGAAAACTTTGGGAAGCATATACATATAGTTGCTGCTTCATCCTTCCAAGGTTTCTACATGCTCTCATACAATTTCTCCTTTTAACATCATTTCTTGATCGGCATCTGTCATATTTGGTAGGCACATACCTTCAGTGTTTTTTAACTAGGTTAAATTAGGGTATCTTCGGTCAACTTTGGGAAATACTCAAAATAGATTTTTACACTTGCTTGTACTGCCTTCCATTTATTGACTGATGTCTTTCATATCAGGTATGTACATGTGTATACCTTTGATGGACCTCTTTCTCTGGACAGTGTTAGGAGTCACTTAGGTCAAGGTCACTTGTGCTGAAACAAGATATTTACACAGACTTGCCTTGAAATACATTGACAAATAATTAGGTGCAGGGTCAGGCATCATTCATGGTAATATGTCTTGTTTCATTTAGATATGTCACTGCTGATGCTTCATATCTATTCTCTTCCTTACAGGTATTTTATATACATGTATATAATTTGATTTTCTAGGAAAATCATTAAATATATTATCTAGTTCTGATAATAGTGTTCTGTTTGTTTTATGCATGCAACCTGTATAAGAATCTGTTTGCGTAACAAGTTTATTTATAATTTGTAAAAGTATATGGCCTGCCAAGATGTTTTACAATATGTTGGTAGGAGAAATCAAGTGATATATAATGACAGTGCTACAGACTTTATTTATATGTGAAAATTGTTGTACAGGAAGATATATTTAATAAAATACTGCATACCTATTGTCCTTGGTTAGTTTCTCAAAACTTTTATTTCCATTACAATGTTAACACAACAGGGACTCAGCTGGTAACAAACAGGGATGTTTAAAGATTTACAGAGTCTATGTCAGTTTGTCTGTCTGTTCCTAAAAACTGTTTCCTAAAATCACTTTTAAAGAACTTTTCCAACATATTTTAGTTAAAATAGAGAAAAAAATGAAGCATTAGTTATACATCTTCATCTTGAGAAAATTGGATCTTTATCAAAACAATTTCCTTACTAGACAGGGAAACTTAACACATTGGTAAGATAAAGACAAACTAAGAACTCAAAAGATTGAAGTTCATTCATGTCATTCATTCAGTGGCATAATTCAATGACCTATGGCCCTTCAGAATGTTGCTGGGGTTCTGACCTGTAGGGCACTTATGGATTGCTTGCAATACTTTGATTATTGCTTGTTCTTTTGTTTTTTGCTATTTAAGCAAATTTTGCTATTGTTTCTTCGTTTTTGCTACTTTAAAATGTGTGTCATTTGACCATGAGAAGTAGCTAAAATTTGTAACATAACTCTGAGGAAGATTTTTAGCACTTCCGAGCATATGGTGTTTATGTGATTTTTTATGTGGCATCATCACCATTATTGTTGAAAATTATTTCTCTTCTGAAACCACTGACCTATTTCTGAGTTTAAGTTGCACATGTTGTTTCTCTTATGAAGATCTATCAGAGTTGATGTGGTCCATTGAAAAATGTTATGTTTGGTTACAGCAGCTTGAACTAGTTTAATTGCAGAGCCTTGAGTTGAGGTATATGATATAAAAACAGTCTTGTGGACTTCTATCAAGTTTATTCTATTCACTACTCTGGTGTCACTTACTTTACATAATCTATCTTTGAAATCTTAATAATTATGCAACATTGCCTTGTGGTCAAAATAAATGTAGATTTTCAGCTTACAGCTTTTGTAAAATGACCAATGTTCCTTAATTTTATAATTTAGGCATATCACATGACCCTCTACCATTCACTGGGATCAAGGTCAATAATGCTAAACAAAAACAAGATGTGTTTGGTTAACTCACATGAGCCTGATAGCATTAAACTTGAGAACATGGTCATCCTGACACTGTTAAATTTATAATGTCCATCATCATCATTCTTAAAGTCTTTCCACACACTGAGGTCATGCACTATTGTAATTAAGTGCCATGCCGGGCATTTAATTCTGAATGACTTAATACATTCAACTTGCAGACAAATAATTCCTTACATTCAGTAGGGAGAATATTCCTATGAAAATGGTTGATACATTATAAAACAATTCAGACAGGAATTAAATTTGTTGAAAGTCTCCAATTTGTAAGCTGAAAAGTATCAATTTTGCCAACAAATTGACTGTCCATATTAATGGGTCAGAGTTTTTTTACCCTTTACTTGATATAGACGTGTTTTGACAGCTTTTCGACCCCCCCCCCCTTTTTTTTTGAGGCCTCCATGAAAAATTACCCTATTTAGGCCCCACTGTTTTTTCATTTGGGAAATGTTGCTAAAAAAAGTGATCACTTTTTCGGCGCCATCCCCTATCCAAAAGGTACATCAGGGGGTTGCCAGAAATGGGATGTCCCCCTTCTGTTATGGCGGTTCAAAGGGGGGTGGTAGTCCCCCTCATCGCCAAGAAAATTTTGGACTTGTTAGAGTAAATGGCCCCAGGTTGATCATAAGGTAATGTGTAACCAACACTGAAAAGCCTTTGACTCTATCTCAATCCATTGAGAAGTTGCAGCACTTTGAAATCAATTTTGTTGGAAAAAATCAACGCAAAATAGTGATTTTTTGCAAATTTGAGATGTCCCCTAGTTGCCATGGTAACAGGAAATTTAAGACTGAGCATGTCGTTACAAAGGCAATGATCTAGTCAACATTTGTGCCAAGTTTGATTAGTATTGAAGCATTTTTCATAGTTTCATAGCAGTTTGAACTTGTAACAGGAGGCTTTTCAATGAAAACAGCCATTTTTCACAATTTGCTCATGAGGGAAAGGGTTAATGTAGACTGGCATGACTACTAGCAGCATTGGAAAATCATGCTCTGAATTGTTTTAAGTGAAGAAGCCACTCAAACTGTTTAACAGGCCAGTTGTTATCTTACAATGCTCATCTTTACCTAAATCTTGTACAACTATACAGCAATCAAGATGTGTTGATTTTCTCAACTTCAAAAACTATAAATTTGTATCAAACCAGATATAAACATTTGACAAAATACTTGAAGTTTGTATTGGAACAAACTTTTCAAATATGAACTTGACAATGTTTGAACATTTTTTTACCTTTATTTGATGCAATAATCTTGCAGTTGATTGTAATAAACCTGGTTGAAAACATAATCACATATCAATTAATGTGAACATGAACATAAATCTATTAACCAAAAACAAAGAAAATCAAAACAATGAAATAAATTAAAACTGGTTTTCACAAAATGACAAAACATTTTCTTGCTAGGAATCTTTTGTTTCTATTGTTTCATTTTCAATCAGTTCACTTTCATCTATATTATTTTCGACACATTGTGTAATTGTGTCACCTTGTTCTTCCTCTGACTGGTTAACTGTTTGTATAACATGTGTTGTTATACCATCTTCTGTTTCTATATCATGTACAAGACCGTCATCTCCTTCTATAAGTTGAGCAATTGTAACCATCTCACTAACATCTTCACACGTATTTGGTACCATAGTCACTGTAGAAACTTCTCCTTCCTCCGACATAGTGATAGTCTGAACCTGATTATCTGAGTTATCCATGTTTGCCATAGGGACAATAGCTACAGTTTCTCCAGTAGTTCTGTCTAATACTCTCATCACAGCATTACTTTCATCTGTGATCACAAGATAATCATCTGTCACTTGTACTGCTTCCACCACAGATGTTTCCTCACCATCCCCAGTAACTACTTCAACATTTTCTATCTCGACATTCTCTCTATGTGCCTCCATATCCCCTGTCTGAACAACAACAATCTCTGCTGTCTGAAAACAAAAATAACAGTGGTATAAAATAAAAATGTTCAGTCCCAACAACGATTTACATCAACAGACTACTAGTATTCTATCCATGACAAAACATATTTAAGTACATATTGCTAAATAATGTGAGAAAACCTTCATTGCAAACAAAAACTGCAAAACTGTCCACTCTATTTCTTCTCAAACTAGGAATATATTCTGAATCTGACTTTTTATGTCATTTATTATATACAAATGTATATATGTCTGACTAAAGAAACAACAATTCATAGCATGGAAATTTTTAGCCATATCAATTACCATCGACAATATTCGAAAATTTATAACAATTGTTTAAAACAGAATACAATGTTATCTTCAAACTTAAGAAATGATTTTAGTATCTATAATGTTAAAATGTTTTTCATCATTTTACATATTAGCAAATATAAACCTGTCTTGAATCATCTGTTTCCTGAGTGACTTCCTCTTGTTTTTCATCCTCCCCGTCAGCCTCTTCATGAGGTACTATATATTGTTGTGTATCAGCTACGACGGAGGAGAATTCGGCCAGGACAGTATAATCTGTGTCATCCTCATCTTCATAATCCTTCATCATCACAATCTGCTTCTTACATGATACTGAAATATCACAACTTAAACATTACAATCTTAATCCCCTTACATTACAAAACTCAATCTATGAAATCATAACTTAACCATTACAAACTTTGTCATTGTTTAGGTTTACACTTAGCATTACTTTTATTTTCATAACATTCATATAAACAAGAAACATGGCAATGCCATGAAACCAGGTTTTCAATTATCACCATTGTAGATAATATGTTGTATTTGAAATACAAATACAAGCAACAAACAATGTAACTATGTGCAATGTAAAACATGAATAATGTAGGAGGAATTGCCACTGAAGAAGTGTTCACTATATATTCTGTATAAGGAAAAAAAACAAAGGGCCATAATTAGGTCAAAAATTATCCAATCACAAAACCCCGACAATATGTGCCAGGGCACTTAATGACAAAGCTTCTGTGAAAGTTTGAACAAAATTCGTTGAGAAATGTAGGACAAGTTCAGCACAGAAGAATTTGTTCACTATATATTGATAATTCTGTATAAGGAAAAAAAACAAAGGGCCATAATTAGGTCAAATATTATCCAATCACAAAACCCCGACAATATGCGCCAGGGCACTTGATTACAAAGCCTTCTGTGAAAGTTTGGTCAAAATCCGTTGAGAAATGTAGGAGGAGTTGCGCACGATAGAAATTGTTCACTATATATTCTGTATAAGGAAAAAAAACAAAGGGCCATAATTAGGTCAAATATTATCCAATCACAAAACCCCGACAATATACGCCAGGGCACTTGATAACAAAGCTTCTGTGAAAGTTTGGTCAAAATCTGTTGGGAAATGTAGGAGAAGTTGCGCACGATAGAAATTGTTCACTATATATTCTGTATAAGGAAAAAAAACAAAGGGCCATAATTAGGTCAAATATTATCCAATCACAAAAGCCCGACAATATGCGCCATGGCACTTGATGACAAAGCTTCTGTGAAAGTTTGAACAAAATCCGTTGAGAAATGTAGAGGGAGTTCAGCACAGAAGAAATTGTTTACTATATATTCCATATAAGGAAAAAAAACAAAGGGCAATAATTAGGTCAAATATTATCCAATCGCAAAACCCCGACAATATGCCCCAGGGCACTTGGTGACAAAGGTTCTGTGAAAGTTTGGTCAAAATCCATGGAGAAATGTAGGAGCAGTTGCGCACAGAAGAAATTGTTCACTATATATTCTTTATAAGGAAAAAAAAACAAAGGGCCATAATTAGGTCAAATATTATCCAATCGCAAAACCCCGACAATATTCCCCAGGGCACTTGGTGACAAAGCTTCTGTGAAGGTTTGGTCAAAATCTGTTGAGAAATGTAGGAGGAGTTGCGCACGATAGAAATTGTTCACTATATATTCTATATAAGGAAAAAAAACAAAGGGCCATAATTAGGTCAAATATTATCCAATCGTTAAACCCCGACAATATGCGCCAGGGCACTTGATGACAAAGCTTCTGTGAAAGTTTGGTCAAAATCCGTTGAGAAATGTAGAAGGAGTTGCGCACAGAAGAAATTGTTTACGCCCGCCCGTCCGCCCATCCGCCCGCCCGCCGACATACCTCAATCTAATAACCAGTTTTTTCCTTCGGAAAACCTGGTCAACTTCGGAAAACCTGGTCAAATATCAGAACCTAAACATTACAATCTTAGTGCTCTTTAATACATTATCATAAAACTATTTCTGGTTTGATAAACATGTAATGACAACATACAAAACGATTTTATATTAAGTTGTACATATTTTGTAAAGGCATTTTCAGATTAAATTCAAGAACATGCCTAGTTTGATTTTCTACAGTATCAACAAAAAAAAGAAGAACTAACCTTTAGCTTTGAGATGTCTGTTGAGTGTTCCATGTTCAGCAAAGCGACGACCACAAAACTGGCACTCGTAGGGTTTCTCTCCAGTATGCATCCTCATGTGGCGTACAACTGAGCCCTTCTCTCGAAATCGACGGTGACAAAATGAACACTCATAAGGCAGGATATCTGTGTGTGTGCGGAGATGTACTTTCATTGCATTCTGGTAAATATAATAGTAATACCAGTAAAAGAAAAAGTTGAACACAAAAGCATATCTTTCAGGTGTATTATGAAATTTCTTTAGCTAAAATTTCAATCTCAACAAGAAAAATTCTAAGTCATTTATAAATGACCTCTAACAAGGAGTAATAAAATTACTTACATTTGTTTTGAAAGTCTTTTCACAAAAGTTGCATGGGAAAGGTCTAACTCCTGAGTGAATTTTGATGTGTTCTCGAACATGTGACAACCTTTTAAACAGTTTACCACATTCTCCGCACTTAAAGTTCCGATCTTCTATATGAGTAGCCATATGTTTCTTCAGCGTATCTCGGGTAATAAAAGATCTCTCACATTTGGTACACTTATGTGGACGTAAACCTTTAAACAAATATCATAATTAGTTAACTTTGAATAAAAATTTTACTTAATAGCATAACTCATCTTGCTCAAATCTTGAAATATAACTATATACTGTAGAATGTTGCTTAACTTGTCATTAAAAGTAATGTGTTTATAAATGCTTTAAAAAAATGCAAAAGATAGATAAATCTTATATCTAGCAGTCATAAGGTGTAAATTTGTGTATGTGTATATAACATATACAGTCGAAACTGTACTAACGGTCACCTCTTATCGGCGGTCACCTGACCTTAACGGCCATTTTGTGACGCTCCCGACGAAAACCACTCTATTTTATACATCTGTTCAACGGTCACCTGCTGTCCGCGGTCAACGGTCACCTAAAATGCTTCCCGAATCTTAAAGTCGGTCATCTTAAGCGGTCAGCCAGGTGAAAAGGCCAGGCAATCTTCTGCGGTCAGCCAGGTGAAACGGCCAGGCAATCTTCTGTCATTTATTTTCAAAGATGACACGTGTCATGGATTAACAAAAGCTACATGTACTTGTCAGGTGCTAGATATTATCACAAACCACAACATTTCATGAAGTTTGCATAATTGCTCATCCTTGTCGTAATTACAAATGTTTGGAACGTCTCAACGCACATGCAATTCGTTCTTTTGAGTTACTGTACGCTAGTTTTTTATTTTTCAATTTACCGATTTTAAGAAAAAAGAAAGAAGAAAAAAATGCATTGTCGATGGCAGAAAGAAATTTCAGTTTATCCCGATTCAGATAAATTTTGTGCGTACTTGGTACTTACCAAAGAAATGAAAATGAATTACATCGCCGATTGTCTAAATTCCTCAGTAATAAATTCATAAAAACACTTGCTCCATGTGTGAAAATAAAATTGCATGAATATAATAAGGTCACTGTTATCACACCCATTAAGTTTACACACTAGATGACCTCTAAGAGGTAACTAGCGGTCTCTTCAAAGGAATCTTTGATGTTTACAAACCTGTAGCCCTGCCGTTTCAATCCGAAACATCAAAGGAAGTGCCGACACTTAGATGACGTGTACACAATATTCATTTGATCAAAAGTTAGAAAAAGAAACTGTCATACTTTTTTTGTGAAAAAAATATTACGCATTTTAAATTATTGTGCAAGAAGATATTTTTATGGGATAAATAGTTTCAATTATTGACATAATAAATCGTGTGTGCATTTGTTTATCTGTGTTACATTCATGTAAAGCTTTATATGTTGGAAGGATTTTGTACATGTTAAACCATTAAAAACATACGTTTGTAAATGGTTAAAAACTGATGATGATGATGATGATGATGAATCAGACTGGTTTATTTATACTTAAATCAGATTTATTTTACAAAGAAATGAATAATTTATTTGGATAAAAACTGAATCCTCCATTCAGCAGCCACCTGTCTTAAGCAGCCAAAATGACTGCATCCCTTGGCTGGCTGCTTAAGACAGTTTCGACTGTATAGAGAGTGTCATAAACTTGTATATCCAGGGTATTACCTGTATGATTTCTCATGTGAAGTTTGAGGTAGTTACTTCCCCGGAATTGTTTATTACAAACAGGACATTTGTATGAATTGCCAGATAATTCTCTATGTGTTTCACTTTCCACATCATCCTGTGGTAGCTCCATTAATTGTTTCAAAGCAGTTTTAGCATCTCTGAAAAAAAGTACAATGTCAAATTTACTATTACTTCACAATTGCAAACATCCATTGTGTGTGTGAAGTTAGATAAATCTTAAAAATATACATATTTATGGCAATACAATATGTGATGAGGCTATTCTAACTCCAAAACAATGGAAAATTATAAAGAATCTTTCATAGCACATATTATAAATTGGTAAATTGAGAAAAAAATAATTGTAAAATTTAATAATTCTAAAAATAAGGAAACTTTTTTCCCTAATATAAATCACAAAGAGGTTCTAACTTTATCTTTTAATACTGCAATAGAAAAATATACTACAAATAAAATATCTTCCTGAGGTCAACTTGGGTTTATTTTTAAACAATATTTTATTACAATATTTGACTAGGAAAAATCCTATTATACCCAATTAAGCTATCTCCATCTTTACTGGTGTCATTTTGCTCTGCTCTTGTTGATACTAAATCAGTTAAAGGATCACTGCTCTGTAACAACAAAATTGAGCCGCGTCATGACAAAACCAACAAAATGGGTTTGCGACCAGCATGGATTCAGACCAGCCTGCACAGTCTGATTAGGATCCATGCTGTTCGCTATCAGTTTCTCTACTTGTTATAGGGTTTGTAAGCGAACAGCATGGATCCTGATCAGACTGCGCAGATGCGCAGGCTGGTCTGGATCCAGGCTGGTCGCAAACGCATTATGTTGGTTTTGTCATGACGCGGCTCAAATGTTTTAAGTATTAAACAAAAATAAGTGCCATGAAAGTTAGTACAAAATATTTCAACATCAAAATGTAGAACATATCATTTCATATGATTTGATATTAAATGCCATTCCTTTTTTCTAAAGAGAAATCATTTTTGAGACTTCTTATTTCTTCTGAAAACAATGTCTTATAATTTAACAACTTATATATTGTATATTATTTTAACAGTTACTGTTAAAGGTGTATAAAGCTACATATTTGCTGTCTGTGGTTTTAAAATTATTGTTTCTTTTGTAATTTAAATGGTTACTGAATACCTAAAATGAAAGAATTTTTTCAAAGTATTATATTGAAAGGAAATGGGGCGTGCATGAAATCATTGGAAAACTTGAAAGTAGCAGTAGAATATTTTGTTCTGGGATTTTTATTATGTTAACTTATTCATGTATATATCTTTCAAGAAACAATCATAAAGTTATGAACATATTTTTACTGATTTAAAATTTTTACACAAATATTTCGAAACAGCTTTACACATTTGAATACTTGATTAATGCAACCTTAACAGCTTGTAATAAATTTTATCGTTTCAACTACTACATATTGACTAAAAACAATGCTAATTAAATGTGTCTTAAAAATCAACTAACCAATTATACATCATTCAATATAAGATGGCCTATAAAATTTAATCTGTGTGGTAATTTTCAGACCAATAACTTCATCCTAAAAATATTTAAAGGCCTGCTGACATTTACATAAGTAACGACAAAACTTACTCTGATTTGAACATGATGATGAAGAAACATGTGATTCTCAAAGTCTTCTTTATTGTCAGTGATATAATGACATAACTGACATTTACAGGTGTCTTCTGCTAAATGTGTACGTAAATGAATTCTTAATGCTTCCAATGATAAATATTCTTCATTACACACCTGCAATAAAACAAGTTATAACAAGAAATAAAATATACAGTACACTGTTTGAAAAAGTGAATTTCAAAAACTTGATCTTGAAAATCAAGGTGAGGCTAAAAGTCAAATTTCAATGCATCAAAGTTAGCTCTAATCTACAGACATGTTTTATCCAAGAATGAAAGCTCCAGCTGATAGAATACAGGGTAATGTCAAGTTTAAAGTTGTCTTTAGAAATATGGACAAACATACTTGTATACAGGAAGGACTATAACAAAATGCCTTTAAGCAGAAATAGACATTTATTAATGCAATTATTTGGACATATATCATTCCTTGATTCTGTGACTAATATTACCCTATACTTCCCTAGTATCTATTTTAATTTCATCTGGAATCTGCTATGGAGGACAAATTATATTGTACATAGTGTCCTAAACTAAATTGCAACAAAGATATCAATAAAGGACTAATGTAATAAAGTGACACCTACTTTACAAACACTAGCTGAGGATTGACTGACAGTCTCTGAATGTACAAACTGCTGGATATTTTCATCTTCTATAATTGTCTCTACACCATCTGCTATCACAACTTCTACACCAGCACTTGCCTCATCAAACTGTAATAAAGAAGTTATGCAATACTTGCAGTGACTTGTTTCATCTTTGGCCACACTCTGTGTAAGTAATCATAGACAGAAAGCAATGTAGATTTGCAATTTGTATGGTAAAATCTATGTAAATATTTGTTTGTTTTATTGTTTTATTGGGTTTTATGCCACAGTAAAGGTCATATGGCGACATTCCAGCTTTACTGGCAGAGAAAAACCTCAGGTGTCCTTCCGTGCATTATTTCAGGCACGAACTGGTAACTAAGTAGAACCACCGACGTTCCATAAGCTAGCTGGATAGCTTCCTTACATGAAAGAATTCAAAGTCCCTTTCGGGATTCGAACCCACAGTGGTGAGGGGCAAGTGGTTTGAAGTCAATAACCTTAACCACTCCGCCACGGACGCCCCTATGTAAATATTAAAGTAGAACTTCGGTAAGTCGAATTTGGAGGGACTTGCGTAAAAACTTCGACACATCGGGACTTCGACTCATGAATCGGTCTGAATTTCATGACAAAATTTCAACCCGTGACTAGTCCTAATTATAAGATCTATAACGTAACCTGTTTCATTTTTTTCTTTCATTCATTAATCTGATATTTTACATTATACAATGATAAATATGACATGTAAAATAACTTTTCACGGCTAATGATTTGGACTACCTGTTGACGTATACAATGAAGTTACAAAAGGCAAAACAATACGAAAGGGCAATAACTAAACCAGCATATAGTAAATATTTTGTGTGTGATTATCACGCGACACCGGGTCACGGAAGTACTCAAATGATAGTTTAAACTGTTTACATGTACTTTCAAATACTGCTACGGCAATTATAATAGTAATGATTAAAGCATTTTTTCACAGTCATATTTTAACGCATACAAAGGCTGTTTGAACACTCGGCTGTGTAATTAACACCTGTCACTAAAGTTGATCGGAAATCATCTTCGCCGCCAGAAAAGGTGTTAAAAATGTCTAGAGATCGAAGGTGTCAAAATAATCGAAGGACTTCGACTTATTTGTGGTAAATTGTACTAGATTTATTCTATACGGTCCACGAAAAAACTTCGACACATTGAAAAATTCCACACATAAAATCTCGACTCATAAATAGGTTTTTATCAGGAATATATAAGGGAAAAAATCGGGACTTTCATTTTACTTCAACACATCGAGAAAATCGACTAATCGAAGTTTGACTCATAGAAGTTCTACTGTAGTAGATATATTAAAGCAAGCATTAAAGACAAGAGTATTTAAATTATCATACCAGGTGTTTGTTCTCGTCATTGTGTACAGTGTTATCTAGAACATCAGATACTGTATGAATGTTAGACAGTTGTTCCTCATCCTCCTCCTCACCTTCCACTGTATCTAACTGCTGTATGTTTATAACTGATACAAACTGAAAACATCCAAACATAAACACTACCATAATTATATCAACTGAAAACATGCAAAACTTAAATCATGACTAAAATAAACAGATTCAAAATTACATGAACTACATGTAATAAAACTCTATGGGATCATCCTGGCATGTAATGACAATCCTGAATCATGTACAAGAATCTAATAAGGTATGCAGACTTGGGGTGTGGCCATATTGTTGATGTGTCAGACTAGTAATCTAAAGATTGCTGATCAAGTGGGTTCAAAACTCAGTAGGGGCAAGTCCTTATCTACTTCAAAGACATAACTTACACTTACTGCTTAATAATAATTTGCTCTTAAAGCTGATATCATCCTACACAATCAAACTAAATAAAACTTTGTATAAAATATATTAAAACCAGCTTGCTAATAATGTTCATTCAAGAGGCTAGATGGTTCAATTTCACTTAGTAAATTCCTAATGCCAATAAGGTTAACTTCAGAAGGCTAGCAGTTACAAACTAAAAAACAAGAGGGCCATGATGGCCCTAAATGCGCTCACCTGTATATAGGCCCCCCCCCCCACCCCCAGGCCAATTTTTACCCAAGGGCTTTTATTTGTTTATTTGAACAGACTTGGTAGACACCCATAAGAAGATGTTTCATGCTAAACATCTAAGTTCTAGCTCATTGGGTTTTTTAAAAGAAGATTTTTAAAGTTTTTACTATACACATATAGTTAAAAACAATGACACCCCTGGGGCAGGGCCAGTTTTGACCCCCAGGCTTTTATTTGAACAAACTTTGTAGATATTTACTTAAAGATGTTTCATGCTTAATATCTAAACTCTAGCTATTTGGGTTTTTTCAAAGAAGATTTTTAAGTTTTTGCTATACACATATAAGAAAATCAATGACCCCCCCGGGCGGGGCCAGTTTTGACCCCAGGGCTTTTATTTGAACATACTTGGTAGACACCCATTAGAACATGTTTCATGCTAAATATCTGAGCTCTAGCTCTTTGAGTTCTTTAAAAGAAGATTTTTTAAGTTTTTGGGGCGGGGCCAATTTTGACCCCAGGGCTTTTATTTGAACAAACTTGGTAGACACTCATTAGAAGATGTTTCATGCTAAATATCTTAGCTCTAGCTCTTTGGGTTCTTTAAAAGAAGATTTTTTAAGTTTTTACTATATGCATATAGGGAAAATCTATGACCCCCTGGGGCGGGGTCAATTTTGACCCCAGGGCTTTTATTTGAACAAACTTGGTAGACATTCACTAGAAGACATTTCATGCCAAATATCTAAGCTCTAGCTCTTATGGGTCTTTAAAAGAAGATTTTTTAAGTTTTTACTATATGCTTAAGGGAAAATCAATGACCCCCCGGGGCGGGGCCAATTTTGACCCCAGGGCTTTAAGTTGAACAAACTTGGTAGACACTCACTAGAAGATGTTTCATGCTTAATATCTTAGCTCTAGCTCTTTGGGTTCTTTAAAAGAAGATTTTTTAAGTTTTTACTATATGCATATAGGGAAAATCAATGACCCCCTGGGGCGGGGCCAATTTTGACCCCAGGGCTTTTATTTGAACAAACTTGGTAGACACTCACTAGAAGATGTTTCATGCAAAATATCTAAGCTCTAGCTCTTAAGGTTCTTTAAAAGAAGATTTTCTAAGTTTTTACTATATGCATATAGGGAAAATCAATGACCCCCTGGGGCGGGGCCAATTTTGACCCCAGGGCTTTTATTTGAACAAACTTGGTAGACACTCACTAGAAGATGTTTCATGCCAAATATCTAAGCTCTAGCTCTTAGGGTTGTTTAAAAGAAGATATTTAAAGATTTTTCTTTCGGTTGCCATGGCAACCAGAGTTCTGCATGGAATTAAATTCTTTGAACAGTTTTTAAAGGTGACCACCAAAGGAACATTCCTGTGAAGTTTGGATGAAATTGGCTCAGTGGTTTATGAGGAGATGTCATTTAAAGCAAAAGTTTACGGACGGACGACGGACCGACAGACGGACGGACGGACGCCGGACGAAAAGCGATCACAAAAGCTCACCCTGTCACTTTGTGACAGGTGAGCTAAAAACAAGAGGGCCATGATGGCACTAAAAGCGCTCACCTGTGTATAAGCCTGGAGCGGGGCCAGTTTAAACCCCAGAGCTTTTATTTGAACAAACTTGGTAGACACCCATTAGATGTTTCATGCTAAACATCTTAGGTCTAGCTTGTTGGGTTTTTTAAAAGAAGATTTGTTCAAGTTTTTTTCTTTACACATATAGTTAAAAACAATGACACACCTGGGGCAGGGCCAGTTTTGACCCCAGGGCTTTTATTTGAACAATCTTTGTAGACACTTACTAGACAATGTTTCATGCTTAATATCTGAACTCTAGCTATTCAGGTTTTTTTCAAAAAGAAGATTTTTAAGTTTTTGCTATACACATATAAGGAAAATCAATGTCCCCTGGGACGGGCCAATTTTGACCCAGGGCTTTTATTTGAAACAAACTTTGTAGACACTCACTAGAAGATGCTTCATGCTTAATATCTAAACTCTAGCTATTTGAGTTTTTTCAAAGAAGATTTTGTAAGTTTTTGTCATACACATATAAGGAAAATGAATGACCCCCGGGGCGGGGTCAATTTTGACCCCCAAGGCTTTTATTTGAACAAACTTGGTAGACACTCACTAGAAGATGTTTCATGCTTAGTATCTAAACTCTATCTACTTGTTTTTTTTTTCAAAAAAGATCTTATAAGTTTTTGTTATAAACATATAAGGAAAATGAATGACCCCCGGGGCGGGGCCAATTTTGACCCCAGGGCTCTTTTTTGAACAAACTTGGTAGACATCCATTAGAACATGTTTTATGCTAAATATCTTAGCTCTAGCTCTTTGCATTCTTTAAAAGAAATTTTTTTAAGTTTTTACTATATGCATATAGGGAAAATCAATGACCCTCTGGGGCGGGGCCAATTTTGACCCCAGGGCTTTTATTTGAACAAACTTGGTAGACACCCATTAGAAGATGTTTCATGCTAAATATCTTAGCTCTAGCTCTTTTGGTTCTTTAAAAGAAGATTTTTTTAAGTTTTTACTATATGCATATAGGGAAAATCAATGACCCCCTGGGGCGGGGCAAGTTTGGACCCCAGGGTTTTTAATTGAACAAACTTGGTAGACACTCACTAGAAGATGTTTCACGCCAAATATCTAAGCTCTAGCTCTTTGGGTTTTTTAGAAGAAGATATTTAAAGTTTTTTCTTTTGGTTGCCATGGCAACCAGAGTCTCGTACCTGAGATAAATGAGAGAGTCTGAATATCTGATTCGTTGTTAAAGTGCACACTCGTCATAAGACGTAACAGCATACAGAGACAGTGATCGAGATAGACGTTCTGGATATGTTTCATACTGAATGATTATGACTGCCCTTATGGTTTTCAGAGAAGCTTGTCGGTTTTAGCATAATATGAATATAGGATACACAGACGGCACACAGCACCGCGTATAGTTATTGTCGACTGTATGACGACGAGCACACGATCGAGTGATCCTAATAAGCTCAGCACTGTATGTATACATAGGGGTCAGGTGAGCTAAAAATATCAGTGACACTTTATTATTATGCTTATATTATGCTCAAAGTTAACCATTACAACAATAATGGCAATAAATTAACTTATAATAACAATTAATAAAAGGAATGACCAAGGCAGTAAAATCTTTACATTATCTTGATCAACTTGTAGGGACTGGTTCTCGTTTTGGTCTTTATTCACCATTGCTGCCACTGATGCAGGAACATTGGTACCCACAGACCATTTTTTACGATATCTCGGCAGATCATCATCAGACTTAGATGTGCATGGAGTTCTAATAGACAGAAAAGAATACATACATAATCAACTTGCAACTTACTGACAGATATTTGGTTCATCAATTAATATTCTAATTTAATGTATTAAAGATACTATTACTACTAAAGATTCAATATAATGGGATTGATAGAAGAAACAAATATAAATGCAACTGATAACAATTTTCAGAATAAATTTAAGATCATAATAAGATCGGAAATTGATGTTGTGCATGTAAAAATGTGTTACAAGAACTGAAACTACGGTGCCAGTGACAAAATTTTAAAAGTTTATCATAATAAGGAATAAACAATGTTTGCATTATCTACTTTAAATTGTCTACCTCGACTTGAGATGTCTTGTAAGAGCACCAGATTCAGTGAATGTGCGGCCACACAACTCACAGGGGTATGGACGTTCTCCTGAAATAACAGTACATACTTCTTCAAATTTACATTACCAACATAATGGGTTTGCTACCAACATGGATCCAGACCAGCCTGCGCATCCGCGCAATCTGATCAGGATCCATGCTGTTCGCTTACAAACCCTATAACAAGTAGAGAAACTGATAGCGAACAGCATGGATCCTGATCAGGCTGTGCGGATGCGTAGGCTGGTCTGGATCCATGCAGGTCGCAAACCCATTATGTTGTTTTTGTCATGGCGCTGCTCATTTTATTTAAATTTAATCTGTCTTATGTTTATCATACCTTTCATCAGTTAAAACATTGTAGTAAAAACAATTTGCAGACTAAAAATCTTGAAAATATCATATCACTATTACTTTACATATTAAATTGATAACCTGTCCACAAAATGCATCATGCACACAACAGCTGATATTACAACAAATATTTAAAGCACAGAACAATAGCACTGGAAAGATTAAAGAATAGCAAAGCTCTGTGTACATATCAAGGTATAAAGTAGACATTTTTGCCTTGAAACACATCAAATATCAACTGATATTATTACTTCTTAAATTGTTTCTTAACAATCATATACTCACCCGTATGCCGTCTTGAATGTCTTTTTAAAGATCCCTTGGTCTTGAAGGCATAAGTACACCCCTCATACATACAAGGATATTGGCGCTTGTTTGTATGTGTTAACATATGTGCTTTTAATACTGCAAGCTAAATAGTTAAACAAACTATCATAAGTAAACTGAATGCTGTTATATATGACTTACTAGTCAATAAATTATCCATTGTATGAAATTTGTAAGTTACATCAGCTTGACGGTTTTTAATAAGGAACATTTGCAAAACTAAATGTTGAAAGAAATGATTAACAATTTGAAAGAATGAAAGAAAATACCTCTTTAAATTTGTTGTCACAAATATTGCACATAAATCTTCTACTGGCTTTATCATCATACATCAGTTTTTGTCGTTTAGCTGGTTGATTGTTTGGTTTAGGAGCTATTCTATAGCTATTATTTCCTGGTGTTGCAATGACTACTAAATCTTCTTTGACTACTGCACCTGTTTCATCATGCACACTGACTTGTATCTCATCCGAACCCTGTACTTGTTGACTAGCCTCAGCTTTCTCTACGAGGGCAGCTGCCATGATGACCTGGTCTAAACTGTCCATCTCGGGAGCAGCTTGTTGCTGCATTTCTTCCTCGGCCTCCTCATCCTCCGCTATCTCCTCCTACAATAAACACAACTGGTACATCATAACTGAACAATTACATTTATATACATCAATACTCTTTCATAAGAATTGATTCTCAAATATAAGTTCAACTTAAAAACCTCTAAAATCTAATCAATTATGAATGTGTTTTGTGCATTGTCAATTAAAGTAACCTGCATTGGCCTCAACATTTATGTGTCTACCCAAAGATATAAATATAATACCAACAGATAAGTAGAGATAATTAATGGCTAGACATTTCTTTTAAAATAAAATCTTAGAAAAAACTAGACCTGTGTCCAAAGGACACGGATGCCCCCACTGTGCAGATGTGCTCGTAAACAAGAGCATGCATATCTGTATGTAAGATTTTTATGTGGAACTTTTTATTAAAATCTGCCATCCGGTTTAAGAGGAGTTGCGTTCACAAAATTTCTATATGGTATATGGTGAAAAAATCAACAAAGGGCCATAATTCTGTTAAATTTGGTCGCAGCAAAAATTCCTTCCTTTACTACCATCTACACATTAAGGTTGTTCATCCCTGCAAGTTTAAGCAAAATCTGCCATCCGGTTTAAGAGGAGTTGCGTTCACAAAATTTCTATATGGTATATAGTGAAAAAATCAACAAGGGCCATAATTCTGTTAAATTTGGTCGCAGCAAAAATTCCTTCCTTTACTACCATCTACACATTAAGGTTGTTCATCCCTGCAAGTTTAAGCAAAATCTGCCATCCGGTTAAGAGGAGTGGCGTTCACAAGATTTCAAGATGTACAGACAGACAGACGTACGGACGGACAAGTGAACGCTATATGCTCCCCACTTTGTGGGGGCATAACTAGAACCGACAACTGACAACATATATATGGTATATAGTGAAAAAATCAACAAAGGGCCATAATTCTGTTAAATTTGGTCGCAGCAAAAATTCCTTCCTTTACTTCCATCTACACATTAAGGTTGTTCATCCCTGCAAGTTTAAGCAAAATCTGCCATCCGGTTTAAGAGGAGTTGCGTTCACAAAATTTCTATATGGTTGAAGTGAAAAAATCAACAAAGGGCCATAATTCTGTTAAATTTGGCCGCAGCAAAAATTCCTTCCTTTACTACCATCTACACATTAAGGTTGTTCATCCCTGAAAGTTTAAGCAAAATCTGCCATCCGGTTTAAGAGGAGTGGCGTTCACAAGATTTCGGGACGTACGGATGGACGTACGGACGGACATTCCAACATTTTGGCTTTAGGGGCTATTTTCTTTGTTATTTTCTTTGTTTTCTTAAGGACTACTAGCCCCTAAATCCTTTGATCACGGAATGAACCTATTGTTCTCTTTTGTTCTCTTTACTGTTATATAGCCCCTAAACCCAAAATGTATGCTCGGACAGACGTACGGACGGACAAGTGCAATGCTATATGCTCCCCACTTTGTTGGGGCATAAAAATTCTTTTTTTAAAAAGGAAACAAAGTGTAAGGCACAAACAATATAAATAAAATCTAATTTCTCACTGCTACATTACCTTAATTGCTTCTAAATTAGGTCTATACTCCTTGTCTCTATCATCATCATAGTCATCATCACCTGCCTCATCATCATCATCATCATCGCTATCTTCTTTATGATCATACTCAGTGTGACGTTTCAGTGAAGCTTCTCTACAAGGTTATAACATTATAAACAATAAAAGAATTATCTTACAGTAACAAGTTAAAATCTAGAATAATAATATTCCTTTAAATACTTCACTGTCTAAATGTTTACTCTTAAAAACACTCTTAAAAGGCAAAGAAATATCTATTATAATAGGAAAAAACAAATAAATATATAATTATGTTGAAAAAAATTATCTTATTTTATGTATTCATGAAACATACAAAGTACCTGTTCCATTTGAAAAATTGTATATTATATTTGATTTATTTATGAAACATAAAAAATACCTATTAAATTTTCTATCACATTTTGAGCAGATATACGCTGGTCTTTCAGTAATGACAAGATTCTGGTTGTGTATCTCATTAAGTTTACGTTTCCCTCTTTTTCCTTAGGTAAAAAATTTATTACAATCATTATGGTGGTTAAGGTTTGTACAAAATTAAATAAACAATGAACTTAAAAAATAAATATTCTTGTCCCAAATTTGTTATCAAATAGCTTAGTGAACTTTCTTAAATGAGTACAATTTAACCTTTAAGGTCTAACAACATCATTTATAGGTCAAGGTTATATTTTAATATGTCAAAATGAAACTTTCTTCTGAACGTATGTAGATGTTATGATCACTTATAAAGTCCTTCACAATATATATGCATGAGCTTTTATTTTAATGCCGGGTCATGAAAGTAGTGATGTGAGATATGTATCCCTTATAATAATGACAATAACAATAATGACATAAACATATGACATAATAATATATTGATACTACGTATACCTGTTTTTGTTTGTTGATCATTTTCTTTCTCACTATCTTGGCCAGCATGATGAGTTACAACCCTTTCCTTCTTTCCTCGCACCTGTCTCTGGATCAGTGTGGGCATAATCATCCTCTTATCTACATCAGACTTGGAATACTTCACCTTCAAATAAATAATATCTTTCACTTTAAAGGGTATAAAGTTATATGCAATGAAAAAAAAATCATATGCTCAATTCTAAAAAAGTTGAGGTTTCGGGGTTTATCTGTCTGGCAATGATTCAGCTCTTAAGGAAATATACAAACATATTTCTTTCATATAGTATTAGATAATATGGAGGTTTTCTTTTTTTTAATTCAAATAACAATTTTTGCAGCAGTTTAGCAGCTTTATACATTTTAACTGAAATATATTAACCAGTAACTAGTGGTTAAGGTGCTTGAGACCTCTTGTGATCATAATAATTTTCAATCATAAGGTACAAGACTTGTTTACTTCAAGGTAGTGGATCTGAAATTGGTTTGAATAAACTCTAAACCTTCAACATAATCAAGCTCTTTTAAATATCTCAAAATTTAAATCTTTTAAATCTTCCTGAATGTATTGTCCTTTTTCTGTAGTATGTCTGAACAAAATCATGACTGTCTCACCTTGAAATTATCGTGTTTAACTTTATGTTCGAGGTACTTCTGGATGTTATAGAATACCATATTACACCTGCGACACACATGAACATCATCATCAACCTCATCCTTAATAATAATCTCATGAATTTCACGTACTTCTCCTGTTAAAAATATAATTACTGATTCATTTTTAGGTAATACATAATTATATCTTTAAGACAGCTGCCCTAATAACATCCTATTGTGGTTATCAAAATAAATATACATATTAACCCAATCACTGTGATGGTGAGGCTCACAATTTGTCCTTTTAACTACTTACATAACTTAAGTGTTCATTTCTACCACAATAGTGATGCATTGCAATTTGCTCTGGGAATTAACTATGCGGTACTTCATAACTGTGTATGAAAGTCCCCTTTAGAAAGTTAGTTTAGACAGCTCATTCCTAAAGGATGCCAAAGAATGAGCCTCAGCAACAGATGCTGGCAGGTAGTTCCACAGAGAAAACAAGTTACAATGAGGAAAGAAGCTAAACTTCATAAAGTCAGTGGACGCTGAATACTGCATAGGAACTCGAGAACGGGACCGCAGATTGCGGCATATATTTTCAATCGTGTAACGGTTTTTAAAAACGTTTCTGCTACATCTAAATATCTTTTAGTATTATCCGAGTGTATGGACTCAAAAAATATATTATCAATTGAACCCAATCTGTCTCTTTTAAAACTGGTCAAATTTTACGGTATTATAAAAAAAGACAAGGAGTGACATCCGCCATTTGCCGAAACGTTTTCGGCATGAGTTTTTCCCCTTTGGCTACAATTGATTACTATTTTTTCAGAATTTTGTTCCCGTTATTTTTGTCAACTATCAGGTATCGTCCAGATATAACGTTAACGGTTTATTGTTTACACGTGTTGACATGTATTGGCGGCATTATAACGGGCGTATTCGTGTATTGATTTGTTAAAATGGAGAAAACAGACACTTTAGTAATATGGTCCAACTGATTTTGCCTAACTGAAAAAAGGAATATTAAAACATGATCCATAGATAAATATTTTAGGCACTCATCTCGTATTCATTACTAGAAAAATTAAAACAAAAATCAAGCATATCGAGGGGGATAACTTACGCCGAACGTTGCGGCAAATGGCGGATGTCATTCCTTTTCTTTTTTCAATATATCCTACCGTAAATTTGACTGATTTTAAAATTAGCAGATTATATTAAATTGAGATTAGATAATTAAAGACCACCCGCTCGCATAATATGAAAAGATATTCAAAGGTCGGACAAACTATATGTAAAGACAGTAAGGATTCGGATTTATGCGCCGCAATATACGGTCCTGTTCCAGAGTTCCTATGGAAATTACTGCAGGAATCTGGTACTGTGGACGACCTTGCTCTGGGTTTAGTTGATGTTAAGAAATGGCCGGGATATATTTAACATACATCTAATATTATGAACTTATCTAGGAGATAAGGAGTCTTGACTGCTGGGGTATCCTCAGGATAAAACACCTGCCAATGGTAAATTTTCCTCCGAATATATCAGTCAAGAGCAATGCCAGTCCATTCACAGATCTTAAAATTGACCAACCTGTTGTTGGAATGAAATAAAGTCAAACAAAACTACTGCATTAAAATATCAATAACTTTTTATAGCAGACGAATATCCGAAAATGGAATGTGTCCGATTATTCTACTTCATATAAAACATTCGTCAACAAATACAGCGTCAGTGCCTCATAAGACATCTATCTTTAATACAATTGCATATTAATTCAACTTATTTTTGTGTTACCTTTTCCTTCAAAATACCACTTAAGCAAATTTCTCGTGCAAAAAATGAACATAAACCTTCAAAAATGTACCTGTTTCCTGAAATCGGCCAATCTTATCGGTTTCTGGTTCGATGTCGTTCTCCTCCATTCTTGTTTTACGACAACTTTAATTTTCGTGAGTTTCCGTTATTTTCCGTGATCAAAGTACTTAAAGGTTGCAACATATATTTTTAAATATGATTGTCATTTTTCATGTCACTTATGATATAAAACCTTTAAAAATCTTCGTGAGAGTGTAACAAGAGCCGATATTATTTAACTTAGGTTCAATAGTCGATTAAAGATATGAAAAATCTATGATATATAAGAACTCTTTAGTCAGTGTGGCAATACCACGTGACATTGACGTCATTTTCGGCATCATTTCCAAGACAAATGTTGCTCGATTCGGAAAAGAAAATAGCCGTAAATATTTTATTTCTGTACCAATTTCTTTGGGATATGCACCAGTCTACGGGGAAAAATATAAGCTTTCCATAGAATATTGGATCTTCGTCAGTATATAATCCGTTTTATCAAACACTTTGCCTAACCTTGGAAGTTGCTTGTATTAGAGCGGGCTTCAGTTGCAAGCTATTTCGTTTTCTGGCGTTATCTGGTCTACGCCATGGGTTGTAATAGAATGCGAAATGGACTCCATTTCGCGAAATGAACTTACCGCCTACGGAATGGACATTTTTTTGTTTAACCGTGATGAGAAATATTATTTTTATTAATTTATGTTTAACATATGACATAAAACTACAGATTGAATCAATGAATATTACTATTTTCCTATTTTATAGTCATATTTCTGAAAATAATCTGGCCTCTACGAAATGGAGTTTTCGGCCACGAAATGGAGTTTTCGCTTACGGAATGGACATTTGCTTTACAAATTATGGTGTAACTGACATGTCACAAAGGGTATCTTTTCTATTCACTTATATTGGGACGACAAAAATATTTTTGTCCCAGGTTAAACATATGATATTAAACAGAATCTTTCTATTTGAAAGACCTTATGTATTAAACACTGAACTACGTTATTTTCAAATGTACAAGCATAAATAATGAAAAAAATATTACCAAAATTGTTTAAATAGTAATTTTATGTCATATATCACTTGTTCATTATTAAAAATGATATTAAATGGTACACTTAAACCAAAATTTAAGAAACAAATGTCCATTTCGTAGTTGAAAAGTTCATTTCGCGAAATGGAGTCCATTTCGCATTCTATTACTACCGCTACGCCATGATTAAAAAGTCAGGTTTACATCAACCGGGAGTACGGAAGGCAAAACTCTACCTAAATATGTTCATTTTTTTATTATGAATGACATAAATCTTACATTTTTCTTCAATTGTCAAATCTGGCACCAGTTCCAAGTCGAAAAAAAGGACTACAGTTTAAAGCCGATTTTAGAATCCGTTGCAAATGCGAAGCAACATGCCTACCGTTCTCTTTCTATAATTATGTTAACCATGAAAAACTTTTTATTTTCTATACAATTTACATAAACACAAATGAATATTTAAATAAGTTTTCCTCGCTGCGAATATTGAAGTGATTTTAAAAGGAGTAAAATTGTTGTCTGTACTGCAGTATTTGTAAAGAAATTGATTTACTCTTTAATCATTGTTCTTTCACGGTAATGATTATGAAACATTTATTTGTGTCATGTAGCAATACTAAACATGGAATAGAAAACAGAAACCCTAAATTTCCCCTAAAACGGCAAAATTGAAAATGTTTCAGGCTCTGAATGACTTAGCTAGCCTGTCCAATGAACGTGCACATTCCGGATCACTTCGATTTGTATGCTGTAAAAAGGGTTACGCCTCGACGCGGCAATTTTAAAGTCAAATGTTATTCTTTTGTAAAGAGCCTTTGTACATATATAAAGAAACTGTAGCAATCTTTTAGTATGATAGATTAAGCTTTTTAACACAGTGGCACTCGTTGATAAAAAATATTTCTACATCCTGTTTTCATACCCACGGTAACCGTTTTCGTGAACTGGTTATAACTTCGTTAACTTAAGAACACTATTAAACACTATCTATGTTATAATTGCATTTATTTCTGTTGATGAACTGCATATCTGACAAATTTAGTTAATTATATCAGTCAACTCAGCTTTATCAGAGAGCTCACCAATATACATTGTAAAGAGAGGAAGGGAACGGAATATTTGTGGTTTGAAAACATTTAAATCGAGTAGAACTTTTTTAACAATAATGTCTCTTTCAACTGAATAAAAACGATAGGGCTATTTGGGACTATTTCTTATCGATGTGGCCATTGGCTGTAAATGCATGGATTATTGCACGCGGCATGACCTGCAAATGTCCTATACAGGCTTTTTGTAGCATTTTAAGATTAAAAAAGGATCGCACATTAAAATCTAAAACATGATAAACGTGACGCATATACTAAATAAGTGAATTATCTGATATGTAAATAAAGAAGTAAGTCATTTGACAGTTGAAGGATAAGAATTGAAATTACTCTTCAAATGTAATCGTAATTTTACTAAGCTTATGTTCACCGTAGGGAACGTGTTACAGTATCGCCTTTTTCGGTTACAGTATAGAATTTTAAAGATGGAGGATTATTTGTTGGGAGGACAGGTAGGTGATTTTTATTCCGGTCCATACTACAAGAAGTTTAGTTTCTTAAAGATGTTTTGTGCTTTGCTTGTAAGGAACAGAATCCGGTATCTAGTCATATATTTCTTCAGACTCTGCACCCCAGATTTATCGTTATATTGTCTCATAAATATGCAGATTTGACAGTTTGAAAATTTGAATCGAGAGACCAACGCATTTTTCTCCAATTTCGACATTATTTATGCATGCCTAGAAAAAGTAAATCAGCAAAACGTTAGTCCTTTATGTTAGGAAACGTTTATAAAAGTAAATGACCAGTTGAACCTATTTTCCTGTTCGTTAAATGCGTTTGAAAAAATAAACAATGTTACAGTATAGAGCGAGGTGATTTGTGCAGGGTTACAGCATAGACCTAGCGATTTCTTTCCGATTTTGTTACAGTTTATACTCAGATTTCGGTTACAGTTTAGACTTCGGTATTTTCTATATATACTAGGTAAAATGTATGAATGTTACATAGACTTTTAAATCTCTGTGAGCTTATTGGCCCGATGGCTTTTCGTCCGTCTGTCGTACACATGTGTGTTCAATCTCATTCGCTCAGTAACTACTTGACTAAATGTGATGAAATTTACATGACTTTCTACCAATTAGTTGTTCAAATGGTTTCGGTTGCAATCGGGGATTATAGATTTTTAAAAAAGGCAATGTTTAAAGATCCTTCACGTCTCGAACCAAAAGCATTCAAATCAAATTAGATCATGGCGTCATTTCGAATGCTTCTTTGTTGAATTTACGATTATTTTGTCATTATTAAATTCAAAGTCGTTTTTTCTTATTTCAGACATTCTGTATAGCAGTTTTCATGTTTTTGAAAAAGAAAATAATATTGAAAGTTATAGAGTATAAATTAAGGTCAGACAATTACAATATCTTCTTTATTGAGCCTGATGGAGGTACATAAAAGTGGCAGAGTCGGGATAAGGCCGTCGACTTCAAATTATCTTTCATTTACTGCTGTAGTTGAAATCCAATCGTGACTTTGGATTCTTTGTATGTGAGGAATCTATCAAGCTAATTTACGGAAGGTCGGTGGTTCTAGTCAGGTGCCCACTCGTGTCTGAAATGTTTCACTAAGGGATTCTGGGGTCCTCTTTACACTAAAGCAGGAATGTTTTCACATGACCTCAGTGTCGTTGAAACTTAAAATCCAAGAAAGCCAAACGTAACAAACCCTTTTAAATACTTACAAAATACATTATGGTAGATGGAAATTCCAACTTAAAATAAAATTTAAGATTGAAATATTGCTCACTTAAATACTGTTTAATCATTTTTAGGGTATTGCCTGCTTGTTAATTGTGTCTTTTGACAGCTTATCTATGGTATGTAGGCTACATAACCTGCGATCCCTTCTCAACATTTCATTTTATTTAGTTTCACTCATTGTATTCTCGTTTGGGGCACAAGAAATTTTTAACCTGGGAGTAATATGCCGCTTTTCATAGAATGACAATAACTTGTCACATTGAAGGTTCCATGATAACCGCCATATGAACACATCCACTGATGTTAAAAATCTAAAGTGTACCAGTTCATGTTTAATGTGAATTCTGCTGAAGCCGGTGCTAGGAGGCGTAGACGGTAGCTTGTAGTTACCACTACCGTCCATGAACAGGTTTAATCAAACTGAGTCTGCAACATTTTCATGTTTTCCGTGTTGGACTTCTGTTAATGATTTTTTTCTCTATTTTATTACTAATAGGCATTATTATAATGTGTAATGAAATCAAGCAATAATCTTTCTTCTCTCAATACAATTCGATAAAAGTTACTGTTGTTGTCGTGAAAACAGTCCTTACTTAGGACATTACTTATTCTGCAAAAAGTCTCAATCTGAAACTTAAAGTAAGGAAAATAGCAAACTATAACTTTTCTGCTGAAGAAAAAAGTAATACAACCTTTCAAGAATATATTAAATAGAAAGGTATGAGTTATTTCATAAAAATAATGGATACACGAACTGTGTTTGAAATTTGGCAAGTATCTAAACTGTAACCGAAATCTGGGTATAAACTGTAACAAAATTGTATCAAAGTCGCTAGGTCTATGCTGTAACCCTTCAAAATTAACCTCGCTCTATACTGTAACATTGTTTATTTTTTCAAACGCATTTTACCAACAGGAAAATAGGTTCAACTGGTCATTTACTTTTATAAACGTTTCTAAACACAAAGGACTAACGTTTTGTAGATTTACTTTATCTAGGCACGCTTAAATAATGTCGGAATGAGGAAAAAATGCGTTGGTCTCTCGATTCAAATTTTCAAACTGTAAAATCTGCACATTTATGAGACAATATAAAGATAAATCTGCGGTGCAGGGTCTGAAGAAATATATGACTAGATACCGGATTCTGTTCCTTACAAGCAAAGCACAAAAACATCTTTTAGAAACTAAACTACTAGTAGTATGGACCTGAATAAAAATCACCTGCATCTCTTCCCATAAATAATCCTCCATCTTGAAAATTCTATACTGTAACCGAAAAAGGCGATACTGTAACACGTT